GTTGTTAGAACAGCTATGGGGTGGGATTCAAAATAATGCCTTAACTTTCTCTTTGCATTTACAAGTGCGAGTACCACCCGTTCGGCCTTTGAGTATCTTCTTTCTGCCTCTATCAGTGTTTTGCTTACATAAAATACCGGGTATTGCACCCCTTCCTTGCAACGAATCAGAACGGCACTCGTCGCGACACCAGATACTCCAAGATATAGAAATAACTTTTCTTCCGGTTCTGGGGCTGACAGGACTGGTGGATTCTGCATATATTGCTTCAAATGAGTCAATGCCTGTCGTTGCTCATCCCCCCAGACCTGCCTTCCATGGCTCCGAATCGTGTCAAAGAATGGTTTGCAGTGGTCTGACAACTTTGAAATAAATCGACTTAATGCAGCTATTCGTCCTGTTAGGGCTTGCACCTCTCTGATCGTCTTTGGCTCGGCATTCTTAATCAAAGCCTCTACTTGAGCGGGGCTAACTTCGATGCCCCTACGGTTGACCACGTGTCCCAGAAACTGCCCGGAACTCACACCGAACGAGCACTTGGTCGGATTGAGCCTCATCCCATATCGCTTTAGTACATCAAATACCTCTTGCAGATGCTTCAGATGATCATCCTTTTTCCTACTCTTTACCACCATATCATCAATATAGGCTTCGACAGTCTTACCCATTTGATTCTTAAAAACTTTGCTGACAAGTCGTTGATAAGTTGCTCCCGCATTCTTTAATCCAAAAGGCATAACTTTGTAGCAGTATGTTCCTCGCTCGGTGACAAAAGAAGTTTTTTCTTCATCTGCGGGGTCCATAGGAATCTGATTATAACCTGAATATGCGTCCAGAAAGGTTAAACGCTCATACCCCGTGGTGGCATCCACCATTTGATCAATCTTAGGCAACGGGAAGCTGTCCTTCGGACAGGCTTTGTTTAAATTGGTGAAATCAATGCATACGCGCCATTTCCCATTTTTCTTCTGCACCACAACGACGTTGGACAACCACTCAGGGTAGTGCACCTCTCTGATAAATCCCGCATCAAGCAGCCTATCAACTTCTTCCGTTATGATCTGATTACGTTCTGGAGCAAATCTTCGCTGCTTCTGTTTCACTGGTTTGAAATTAGGATTGACATTTAGGGAATGACAGGAGACGGAAGGACTAATTCCAGGCATGTCGAGGTGACTCCATGCAAATACGTCGACATTGTGGGACAAGAAATCCACTAGCTCTTGCTGCTCTTCTCTGGTCAGTCTTATACCCACTCTGGTAGTTCGTTCTGGCCTGGACTGATCGATCTGCACATCCAGAAGGGGCTCCTCGGTCAAGTCGGCTGACTCCTCCACCCTATTCTGCTCGAGTGGAGGTTCCTGTAATTGCTATCTGGGGCTTGTCGACCGGACGGGCGCCTTTCCTTTCCCTGCATGCTTTAGTGTGACGGAATAACACTCTTTGGCTGCGACCTGATCCCCCCGAATGTCTATCACTTTATCTCCATCGGGCCCGAGGCACCTCATGACCTGATGCAGAGTTGAGGGTACACCTCGGACTCTGTGAATCCATCCTCTTCCCATCAGGAGATTATACGAGGGGTGAATTTCCACAACCACAAAAGTTTCCATAAGAGCTCGCTCTGCAGCTTGAACTTCTACTTCCACCATCCCGACGGGTTCCACCCTCTTCCCATCGAACCCTAATAAGGGATTTCCGGTGGGCTTGAGCCTCTCTGGTTTAATGTCGAGCCTGTCAAATGTGTCCCTCGGCATAACATTCGCACTGCTCCCAGGATCGATCAGAACTCTGCGCACCAAGCAATCTGCCACTGTCAAACTGACTACCAACGGGTCGTCATGAGGCAGTTGAACACGCTGCAGGTCTGTCCAGTCGAACTTTATCTGCATTGACGGGCTCTGTTGGTGTAGAGTGGTCACATTGCCGACCCTTTTCTTCATCTGCGCCTACCGCAGGCGCACCCGTAGCAGCTCATCTGACTCTTCACTAGGCTCGGGTCGACCATGGATAGCATTGATTATACGAACTGGTTGCGAATTGTGGGAGCTTTGTTTATGACTCCTTTTTATTTGTTCCACTGGTCGATTCTGCTCCATCGCCGAGCCTTGAACATAACTCGCAAACTCCCCTCTAGCTATCAACATCTCCACTTGCCTCCTCAGGTTCCTGCATTCGTTAGTCTGATGTCCGAAATCAGAATGAAAAGCACAATGTTTAGTTTGATCCCTCTGTTCGAGGGGTTGTCTAATTGGCAGTGGTGTATGAAACTTGTCCTTGTTCTCCTGATACAACCTCGCCAGAGTGACCTTCAGCGGAGTAATCAACTCTTCCTCCCTGGACCTTTTTTCGGCCTTCCAAGTGGTCTGACGTTGCGGCTGAGCCTGCTTCTGCCTGATCTTTGCCTTGGACTTTTCCTCGGTCGACACAAGCGACGTTGTCCGAGCATTAGCTGCCTCCTCTTCTTCGAGGCGCACAAAGCCATCGGCTCTCTCATTGAGTTCATCCATGGTAGCTGGCGTATTCACTACCAGACTGGTGTGAAACGGAGTTCCGCGTGTCATGGCTAACTTGAAGGCTTGAACTGCCGTAGAAGGATGGCATTCGATTACCATACTCTTAGTGAGATTAAACCTGGTAAGAAAGGCCTGGAGCCGTTCATCCTTGTGTTGCCGCATCGTGAACAGGCTCGAGATGTCCTTCGGCGGGTGTTTGTTCCCATAGTACTGGCTTATGAACCGATCGCACAGGTCCCTGAAACTGCCAATGGAGCTCCTAGGCAAGTTTTTGAACCAGCTGAGCGCCGGTCCGGCCAGGCTTGTAGGGAAGCATTTGCACATTAAAGAGTCGTTTTCCGTATTCAGGGCCATTTTCAACTGGATATGATACACATGATCGATCGGATCGGTTGTTCCGTCAAACAGAATAAAGACTGGCATAGCAAACTTCCTTGGATGCGGCGCATTCAAGATCTCGTCGGTGAATGGTGAATCCACCGTCCGAGCTGCGGATCGGAGAGCTTCATTCTCTCTCTGGAGTCCAGCGGTAGCTCTGTGAGTTACGGTTCTGCCCTCCGAACTGTGATGAGTGACAGTAACCATGGAGGGCCGGTAAGACGGATCGAACGACCGTTCCTCTATGAACTCTCTCTGCCAAGGCGACGCTACTCGACGGCGATCTACCTCCATCACTTCCTCTCGGTCAAACCTTTCCCGCTGCGGATCAACGTGAGTCGAGCCTTCGTGATCTTCAACTCGACGAACATTTGGCGGCAAATTGTCCATCATCCTTTCATCACGGTGGTGAGCTGACTGATTGTTCTCGTTCTGATCGCCTTGATGCGCGATACTAGATGGAACACCTCCTTCTCCGACCGGAAGCGGATGCGAAACTGCGGGTATCTGCCAATGCTGCAGTCCAGCTTTCAATTCTGCATTTTCTTTTCTGAGAGCTTCAATCAAGTTCATCAACTCTTCAAGCTTTGTTTGCTGGATAGCCTCCATCGGATTGGAGCTTTCACCTATCATTATTCCCGAACGGAGTAAAGGCATTAATCTCAAGTTCGCGAGTAGATCTGAGCTTCGTGAGTAGGAATTTTTAGATCTGGCTTCTAATTCTCCGAATTATGCTCACTGTTTACAAGATCTGAATTGTCTGAACTCTAAATCCGTCAGATCCTGCCACAATCGAGCAACTCGTGGTTGCGTAGATCTGAAGTCACTCCTGCCAAAGCTTCAAGAATCGTAATTCCTCCAGAGTAGGTCACAATCGCTCAGATCTGGATTCAAATCCGCAAGATCGAGTCTCGATCAACCGAATTGGTTTGAATCCATTCGATACTCCTCATTGATCAACCAAACTTTCATGCGCTTCCCACAGACGGCGCCAATTGAAGATGCAAGAAACTCCTTCTATTCTTTCTCTCTCTAGAATTCTTACACCTCAACCCCTAAAAAGATCCCCCTCCCCTTCATTCCAACTCCTATTTATAGATACTTACAAGATATTTACAAGATATTTACAAGATATTTACTAATTGCTGGACCTGGGCCTATTCCTCTGTAAGCCCTGGTCACCCTTGATGGGCTTACTCCCGCCCGGCCCATATGGCAGTGTCTTTCTATGGGCTGACCCAGCTGTTCGGACTGAAGGTTGTGTTTTGCGAGTCGGACCTGGCCCATGTCATCCAGGGCCTCCTCAACTTCATATACAAGTTTAAATTCATAATTTATATATTCTATGTGCTTAATTCTTATGTAACTTATTTACCTATAATCCTATATACATAATGTATGTTACATAATTTATAACTATAATTTAAGTTATAAGTATAAGACATGGCAACAAAAAGTTATAACTATAAAACTTAGACTTAAACATAGACTTACAAAATATAACTTACAAATATACAAATAAGATTAGTTGTATAACTTATAATTATAGCATAAGCCTATAATTTATAAGTTATGTAACCATAATACACTTATATAGTTATAATGTTTATTATATACTTGTATGAGTAAAACATAAGTTATAAGTACATTACTAGGTATAAATATTCTGTGGGTATATATTTCCTAAGTTACTAAAATTATTATTCTAAGTGATATATACTTACAAGTTATAATGCCTATCATATTGTGGCATACTAGTTTAATTAATGTCTAATAAGACTAATATATATTAGCGTTATTATATATATATATATATATATATATATATATATATATATATATATTCACAATGATATAAGTGTAAAGTTAGGGATAATTAGAGTTAGAAATTAGTAGGATCGTGGCACAGCTCACCATCAGTCCTGCGGTTTGTCTTGGCTTAGCCTGCAAGCCTACCTTTTAGTCCGGACTACCTATGTACAGATTGCTTACTGTTTCCTATTTGTGCCATTAAATGCTAACATGTGCTTGAGATGAAGAGTTTCTGTAGTATAAAATTTAATGCCGAGTCAGTTGCATCAGAATACTGATTTTTCATCAATGCAGGTCACTGAAGGTGAAGTGGGCTCACCAGCGGATGTGGCCAAATCGTATATGCGGGCTCGTCCTCTATGGGAGTCTCCTTCTGTAAGCTTTTTTGACATAAAAACCCCTTTGCAAGTGGGGATTGAACTTTTTAAGGAAGAAACACCATATTCAGTTGGTGGAAATTCTCTCTCCACATCTAAGGTATTCTTTGGAATGTTTGTTTTCTTCTTGATTTATTGTAATTGTTGCCTTTTGTGTTACTCTTGTTTGTATTTGAAGGAATGAAGGATTTGTTTACAATGATGTTCCCACTTTTATATGAATGTTTGGGATCTTGATTAATGATAAAATTGTGGGAAATTTATTCTGGGTAAAAAATTTGTTTAGGTTTCATTAGAAAACCAATTCTGCGAGGAAGATGAACTTAAAATAGACCCAAGATTCAATCAAACTGGTGTTCACCAAAGTGGGAGGTCTGATTATGAAAGGAATAAAGCCCAAGACAAATTTCTTAACTGCTAATCATGCAGTAGTCCTTAAGTAAGGAATTAGGAGGAAAAATAATAGCTACATAATTGGGTTGCTGATTTTTCTCAGCAGACTTTGGGGAATGTTGGTTCAAGTGCAGGACAAATTGAATAGGTTTACAAACCTTGAAAAGGAAGTAGCCAAGTGAGAAAGGATAAGGTAATAGGTGGTCTGTAGTTTACTGACATAAAATAGAGGACAAAAGTGAAGATAATAAAAAGGAATTTTGAGAGTTCATTATGTTGACTCAACCAATCCAATCCAGAACCATCGACCAAAGTAGAAAAAAATGAATAAAATATAAAAGTTCCATATGAAAGACATTGCTTCATGTTAGATTGAAATTAATGATTTGAGTTCACCAACTATGTGTGAGGTAAATATGCAGGCTTTCACATGCAAGTTGTCGGAAATGAATTTAGTGTGCAAGCTCTCAAAGCTCTTGGAATTTCTCAAGACAATGAGTGAAGAAAAAGACAACATACAATCAGCATCGATTCTGGTTACTAAATCTCCATATGTTAATTTATCACAAGGGATTTGTCCATCATATTGTTCTCTAAGTTTGGTTCTAACCTTTTCAGCAAATAAATTTGGAGTTCTGATTGTATGTTGTCTTTTTCTTCACTTATCGTCTTGGTATTTGATGTTTACCTACTATGGATGAGGTAACTAGGATAGATTTACCCCATCCATAGTTGGTGGTGAGGAAAGGGAAGCTGTATTTATTGTACCTTCCAGAGCAGAGCAGAAACTTCTTATATCAGCTAAATTATCATTGAAGATGGTAAGTTAATGAATCTTTTGCTATTCCTCACTAAAATAGATTTATGTAGGTTGCCATAATCAAGGATAAAAGTTTACTTTGAGCATGTTGCATTTAATCTTTGAGTTCATGGGCTCCGTTTTGTCTTTGTATAGTTTGGGATGCGTTCCCCTTTTGAACGCTTTTAATACAATTTACTTATAAAAAAAAAAAAAAAAATTATGATGGTAAAGCCTGGACTTGTTAGACATACATTATCTCTTGATAACTAATGATAGTAATTATATCAGATGGAGATTACAGTGTGGACTTCTTGCTACTAATATTTTTTTATTTATTTATTTTTCCTTTTCTTATTGAATCTCACACACCCACTTTACCCCTATGGGGCCTTGAACCATCAACCTTATATTATATGTTGCAAAGCATAAAACAGAAGTGAAGAGATAAATAAAACAAGTAGAACACACAGATATTACGTGGTTCAGCCACTATGGCCTGCATCCACGGCACAAAGGGCCCAATGGGCTACATCACTTATATTATAATCTCTCAACTCATATACAATACAATGGTGGAGGCTCCTTTATATAGGAGAAGATATTATGAGAATGGAAAGAATTAGAAAATAGGAAACAAGGAGGATTTTTCTCCACTGATTCCTCTAGTAACACCAAATCTTCAATAATAGGAAACAGCATCAATTACTGAAAGAATTTTCTCCACTAATTCCTTCATTAAATCTTCAATATTAAGTACTTCTAGGCTATAGCCCTTGGTGGTCACTAATTTTTTATTAGATTATGCCTTAGTTGCTCTTGTTGGAGTTTGATGTAGGAAGCAGCTTTAAGAAAGGAGAATAAGACTCAAGTTATGGTCGGTAGGCTTAAATAGGGTGACTGGTATCTCCTCCACCTCCCTAAGAAGAGGTGGTTGAGGGTTCAAGTCCCATTTGCGACGAAGTGTGTATGTGTTACCTTTCCAAAATAAAATATAAAAATATAACTAAGTACATGAATACATTATGGTTTATGATTTTCGACAAAATATTTGAGTTTGATGGATTGAGGCTTGATTATGCAGACTTTATTTTGAAAGATACAACTTTCTGGTATTTCTGAACATGGTGGGAAAAAGGAAATTTCTGGACAGAATGGAAAAAATGGATTGATGTGCTATAAATTTGGTTAAATTTAGAAGAAGAAAAAGAAGGCGTATAGGACAGAAACTGAAAATGTACTTGAATAATCGATGAAAATATGAATTAATGTGCTAAAGTTGAAAATTATATTTGAAGAGAGTAAAAGAAGAACAGAGCAGTTAGGCATTAGATTTAAATATGGGCTTTGGAATGTACCACACAATTTCTCTAGAGCATCAATACCTGTTGAAAAAACTCAAAAATTCTTTCCAATTAATTGAAAGAAAAAAATAATAATAATGGCAGCTGGGCATCTCTTACACCCATCCAAGGAATAAGCTGAATTATTTTTTAATAGTTTTTCATATATTGTAGTATTCTCTTTTCTTATTGCTTTTTTTAGTCTTGACATTTTTATGGCTTGTAACTTCTTTGTAAAAATAATTTGCAAAATTAGATAAAATAGAAAATATATGAATGCTTCTCTCTTCCTTAGATTGCTGATTTTGATTTAGTATGGCTTACTTGTAAATTCAATGCAGCAGAAAAGGGATTCTCTTGCCACTGGTTCATGGAATATCCTGGAGGAGATACGAAGAGTGCGTTCTAAAGCGACAGAAGATATGTTACGGAACCTCCCATCTGCAAAAATTGATCTATCATCATTTGCTTCAGAACCGAAAAGAACCCAAATTTCATTGGTTGCTGATGTGAAAGAAGCAGCTGTGGGAAATAAATTGCATCACTCAAATTGTTTAGCAACTGCAGAGGCAATAGATGCATCTGCAGACTTGGCCACAGATCATGTCTTCCCAGGTCATTGATTTTTTGTATAAGAGATAATTTGCTATTCTATGTCGGTGATCAGTTGTCATCTGTCGCTGAATAGGCATCCTAAGGCGAAGTATCAAAATCGTATTAACTTTCAGAATATTAGATATTTAGAATGTAGAAGTTCTAAGACATAGAACCTTGTTTTTATGTCCCTTCAGTTCTGGAGATGAGAGAAGATGGTTCACGGAATGAAGCTTTCTCATCCAATCCAGCAACATTTGTTTCGGAAAAAACTCAGGTACCTGATTGTTGGAACTGGATTTTATACAGGCAAACTTATATGAAATATTGGAATCTCTATCTTGCATTAATAATATTAGATTTAATCTGATAGGTTTGCTACTGTGTTACACAGATCAAAAGAGCAGCTTTTCTGTAGTTCAAGTTGTACAAACATGACTTGTTAATGTCTTGGATTTCTTTATGTTTCTAAGGATTTGGATGTGATTCATATTATTGGGGGAGCTGAAGATGCTGCTTCTAGATCTAGTCACTCAATTGCTTTGGATTTTGCCTCAAAGCAACATACTGGTACTTTTACCTTTTACTCTTTTGGTGGTCAGTCTGCAGCTTTATCGTGCATCTTTTTTTATCTTTGAGTAATGGTACTATATATTGCCTTGTGCTGCAATGAGACTTCAATAATTTATCTAAAAGATTATAAAGAAGTATCAGCAGGCAAGGCACACATCTTTCCATTTGCAAGGAGCTAGTGGTAAAGCACTGAAGTTTAATTCAGTGGTCTGCAGGAAATTCATCTGTAGTCATATAGATAGCAGCAAAGGGATGTGGTTGTTTTATGATTAAGATTCATCTGGAGTGTGTTGTAAGTTCTGAAAGTTCGTATTAGATTCTGATTGACTTATCTAGAAGCTATGAGGTTTTTTTTTGCTAAAGGTTAGGAAATTCAAAGATTGTTAGGTTGAAGGTGGTAAGTTCAATAGGATTTACATATCAAAAAAAAGTTCAACAGGATTTACATGGCATTGTTGATCACTCTCTGTCATACCCTCAAATTTAAATACAGAGCATCTTAGTCCAATACCTATATTAAGTGTGTGACTTCAATCCAACATCAATTAGTCCATCCAAAGCAACATTAAGTAAACATTGTACCACCAACTAATATCATTATTCCATAAAATAAATCCACAATAGATCCAATGTGAAATGATAAAATCCAATTCCATCTGTTATATTGTGATCCTCACTACAAAGTCACTCATGCTAGTAAATAAACTGAAATGACAAAATAACCAACTAAACTCTAATATTTGGCTTCCTAAAAAATGGCCAAACTTACCGTCTTTATAAATGAAACAGTTGCACTGCTATGAATGGCCTGAAATGAGCCAAATCTGAACATGGTCAAAACCAAAAATTTCCTCTCTGTGGAACAATGCATCTTGAACAAAACAAAATAGGATTACGCTGTTTCTTTCTTAAGAACATCAGTTTATACATAGACTTTGTGATGTAGCCCTTCCATTCAAGGATTTGGGTAGTTCTCCTTGTTCGGGCTAATCCTTAAAAGCAGTTACTTCCTAGCAAGATTTCTCTGATATATTTCAAAAACTAGGGGTTCCATTTTGTTCCGTAAGGGAACACTCATATGGGTGCTTCAAAATTTTCGGGCCTTTGGGCTCCACTAGATATGGTCTCTGTGATTTAGATTTCCCATTGTAAAGATATCCACCCATTCACTACCTCCTTGCGCTCTCTCTCTCTCTCTATATATGTGTGCGCGCACGAGCGCGTCAATTACTAGTATGAAAATGAAAAGTTGCGAAAAAAAAAAAAAAGGAACCAGGAGGTCGGTTACATTTCTTTTTGGTTCTTATGTTGGTTCCATAATGACTGTTATTGTGTGAGTGTGAGCTTGCTGGCCTGTTTATCACACTCTCTCTAAAAGCATCTGCAGATTCAAGATCAAGTGAGAGAAATTGTTCTATGGCGAAACATGTAACTGAATTGGGAGGCACACCAAAAGCTAGTAGTTCCCAATCTTCAGGACCAAGGTGAAAGGGTTGCTGATTCCGTCTTGTTTACCTATATTATTATACCAAATGAATTCTAAATAATGCTGGGTTCTTTTATTCAGTTTCTCTGCAGGATTGGGTTCAGAGCGAAATCCTAGATCATTTGATGGGAACTCAATGCCAGTCAATTCAAGCCATAACAAGTTGAATAGTAGCATTCCTATTGAAGGGACCTGTGAACTACTAAGTGAAGCTTCCATTGAGGTCCCAGTTGTAAATGAAATCAACAACGTAGCCAGCGGCTACCGGAACAGTTCTAGCTTGCGATACGAGGAATTATCACTGCAACTGAGACAGCAAAATTTGAAACGCAGCATGACTGGCAAGATTGGCAGCATGGTCGAGAAGCAACTGCGGGAAAAAAAGAGCAGATACATTAAAAGAGGCCAGGGATCTCCATTGTGACCTAGAGGTCACGGGTTTGAAAGAAGGAAAGAGCCTCTCCGCATGCGGAGGTAAGGCTGTGAACATCTGACCCTCCCCAGACCTTGTAATGGTGTGAGCCTCGTGCACTGGGTTTGCCCTTTACTATAAATTAGACTAGAAAAGATCTTTCCATGTAGGGCAATTGCAAGTCTTAGTGAGAATGATGCTATTGTTGGGCTCAAATATGAACATCTTGAGTTGCAATTTCCTCATCTACAAAAGTAATATTGTTAATTTTCAAGACTCATGCAATCATATTTTGCAGCTTACTGGGGTTATGTTATGTGGAACATGGACTGCATGCGGAAGAATGAACACCCAGCTTGGTAACTCCCTCTATGTTGGCAACTCTAGAGCACTTGGTGAGTACTAATCTGAGACAGCTGCTTAGGGGCTAGTGAATCTGGTGGTGTTGATGGATAGGGTACAGGTGGTAAACAGCTAATCCCGGAGTGCCATTTAGGATCGTTGTGTCAAAGTCAGGTCACCGTAGGAGATCATGCTGGTCCGGGTCACATGATCAGGCAAGGGGTTGGTCTTTACATTAGGTTAACTTACTCCTCTAGCCTTATATTTCAAGGATACATCATTATCGGAGTGGCCAGCTCCTATTGAGTGATGCATTTTTATTTAGGGTTGTACCCTTTCGGAGGTGGATGCAACGGGTCTCATTGGCGTAGGCTGAAGTTGCTTTGGAGCTAGGATGGAGAGAGCTTGGGAATAAGAACATCCTAATGGAGCGAGAATTGAAATGAAGAGAATGTGAAGAATAACTATTTCACTTGTTCCTTCAGTGATTTGGGTTATTTTCTAATGGAGGGTTCAAATTCGCACAACGCAAAATGGTTGTATGAGTTCCTTCACAGCCCAAAGACAAGCACATTGGATCGTGTAGCACTTAATTGCGTTTGGGTCTCCCCAAGTTCCACACAAAGCCCAGCCCAGCCCATGCCCGTTGTCATGTTGCTAAAGACAATGAATATTTTAGTTAAACATGATTTGTCCAAAAATATGAAATGTAATTAGCTATATTAATCTATAAAACCTAATTAAGCATATTTTCCCCAAGTAAAGCTAAATAAGCTTTTAATATGAGATGAAAATCTAACAGATAAGCAGGCTAGGCTTAAAATGATGCACTGTGGTTAGCTGTTTTAAGATATAAAATGAAAAATACATTATCATTCAGATCAATTTTTGCAGATACAATGTCATATTCTTAACATCCAAATGGTCAATGTACCTTTAAATAACTTTCCCCTAGAATAATTCATTGTACCTGTTTATAAGATGCAACTTCTGAATGAGACTGGTGGGAACCCCCATTACTTAGAATTAAACATTTTTTTTTTTTTTTGTTTTTCCCTCTGTGTTGGTACTCACACACACGTTTCTAGGGTTTGAACCTTTGACCTCTCTTTAAGAAATGAGAAATAAGGGATTGATACCGCTAGCCCATTAGTAGAATTAATATATGCAACAGAATATTAAGAACTTGCTTAATCAGAGAATTAAACATTTTCAGATGACGTATGTTCTTAATACCCTGTTAAATATATTTAAATACTCTAATGATAGGTTTTATTATTATTATTATTATTATTATTATTATTATCTAAAATGATATAACATATTGAACATGTCATCCCAATTGCAAGCACTGTTTTTTTGTTAACCTATTATAAAAGAGAACAACAAACTTGAAATAGGCAGGTTCATTTGGGAGAAAAAGATAGCATCTGTGGCTTTAGTGTTGTTCACATGCACAGAAGCAAAAAAGCCCATGAGACTCTTCTCTTTATTGCAAGTATATCAGATTACAAAACTAATTTTTGGATGCCAAAGTATGATGCCTTTGAAAAGAGGTATGGGCTTTTCATTGCTGTCACCCATCAACTATAGGGTATAGGGTAAAGGGAGCCAAGAGGAAAAGCATAGCCAAATTAATTCTATTTTATATATATATATATTAATTTTATTTAGTGTCTTTTGTGGGATTTATTAGAGATCATGCCATTCATGACCTTATCCCAACCCTTTTTTTTTTTTTTTTTTTGTTTTTTTGGTTGATTAGAATTAGATTCTTCAAGCATGACATGAAGCTTTGGTCTCACAAGAAATGCTCATCTTCACAAGGCATGGTCTCCTTGTGGTATAAACTTTGATGTCTTTTCATCATTTCACATGGGGGGCTAACCTTCCACCACAAGAATCTCTCATTCTCTCTCTTTCCCCGAAAAACACAATGAATTTTTTTAATGCGGCAACTATACTTGATGCGATGCATTAATACGATTCGAACACGGCATTTGATAAGTAAATTTGAATTTTGATTTAATCATGTTCGCATTGTAGTCTCTATTAGTTCATTTATAATTTAATTAGACCCGTTTAACTAAAAATATCGCATTTGCGTTAGTATTAACTCGTTTAACTAAAATTTTAATTAAACATGTCGTGTTGTGTTAAATTCTGACTATTTTTATTCAACAAACTATGCAAGGTGTGTCTTATTATCTATTTAACAATTATGTTATAATTATGTCTAAATTTTTTGATACGGATAATAATCATATTATATTCACGTTAATCCTTTTAAAAAGATACCAAATCATGAAACGACACGAATGCAATGACATTTATGGGCATCAAAAAATCAAAATTGATGTCTATTCATGAGATGATTCTTAAAGGGGTACAATTATACCACAATACTAAAAGCACTGGTGCACAATGAAGTGGAGGGCCAAAGGTAGTGAGGTTTATTTCTGTACATCTATTTACTTGTCAAGTGGAAAGAACTTCTCAACAGTCCAACAAAGGAGCTGATGGGGCCAATAGAATCTCTCATGGACGATTTACAATCTAGAAATCACCTGCCCTTCATTTAACAAATATTGTTAGACAACGTTTAAAAATATCTTGAAATTTAAATATATATTTTTTTTTGACAAGAATTTTGGACACTTTAAAGATAAGACTGAGTGGTTTTATATATATATATATATATAAGATTAAGATTCAAAGCAATTTAAAATATATTTATTAGTTAATTAAAAAAATAATACAAAATTTAAGAAAATAAAAGTAACAAATATATAGCTTTAAGTTTTAAATTAATGATTTTATTCATGATTGTATGAATAAAAATAATAAATTGTTTTTTTTTTTTTTTTATACATCCACGCCCTGTCGTGTTCTATTTGTATTGTTTGTAATTGTATTCAGCGATTGGAGAACGCTACAATTGTCCAAAACCCAAATCCTTCTAAGTGGACCTGGATTTTGTGGTCCACTGAAAAGGTTGACACTATCCCACCGAGCTCCATTGGGTTGTGAGATGATCCTTGTCACTGGTCCATGGGGGGACAAAAGTTAGGAATTTGAAAAGAGTATTGATTTAATCCAAGGTTTGTTACGAGGGTTAAAATCATAAAATTCCTTTTTCATTTTCAAAAATATCATATAATCTTTCTTAATTATTAAATTCTCTTAACTAACAAAAACCATCACCTTGTTTCATTTGTGTGATAAAATCGCTAAGTTGTTGTGAAATGACAATAATGCCCTTGATAATATATTAATATTTTATTAAACTGAAACTATAGTGTTAGAAGGGTAATTTTGTCATTACGAAATACAGTGTTATTTTGGTCAGCAAAATGATGCCACTGTTGCACGCGATTTTCATGCGATACGATCCCGTTAGTTTTAAACAAGAAACTAACGCGGAGGGGTGATATGATAGATTTTTCAAAACATCTAGTAGTAATATGATAGTTTTTTAATTGAGTGTGTTAGTTGATAGTTTTTAAAAGCCAGAGGGGGTTTATGATTTTAGCCCTTGTTATAATTACTCAATTTTTTCTTTTATTTTTTTCACAAAAAATACACTAATCTCCTATGCAAATTGAAATTTCAAAATATATCAAATTTGCCCTTATTTTGCAAATTATTCCTTATACAATTGTAAAAACTTGATCCATATTGTAAAAACTTGAAACCCATTACAACTTTTTTCGACTCTATTAGTTGATTTGTAAAAATCCCTTTATTTAAATTTGGATTAAAAAAATCATAGCCTCAACTACCCTCTCTCTCTCTCTCTCACTCACTCACTCACTCAATTTCTCAATCTCTTCTGTCTGTCTCTTTCAATCTCTCTCTATTTCGACCCTAAAAGTAGCTTTCTCTCTCCGAAAGACCCCTAAATTCACGTTTTTGCCATGTGCTGAGACGTTCATCAACCAACACCACTGAATATAAAAAAGCAGTCATTTTTCTCTTTTTCTTTTGGTATGGCAGAGAGTGCTTTCGTCAACACCGTGGTACGGAAAAAGAAGTACATGCGTATTGACCGTGCAAGCTGTGCTTGATCGCCCGTTACTTGTACGGTTTCAAGTCCGCGATTAAATTTTTATATAACACGTTATGACTTCATCTGTTCCATAAGAAATGTTGTATTTGAGAAATCGTAAATATGACACTTTTTATGAGAGGAAAAAAAATATTTATTAATTATGTCCCATCCGCATTAAAATTATTTATTAGTTTATTAAATATTTGGGTTCCTAGTTAGGTCAAAGAAAATTTGCTTTGCTTGAATTATGATGTTTAGATTTGGTGTGCATAATTATTTTGCTATTAAAAAATTTTAAGCTTCTTTACTAAACTACACATGAATCATGCAATTCTTGATATTTAGTGTGTGAGATTTTTGTGGTGTTAGTGATTTGTGGTTTTTATGTTGGTTAGGTTAGTGATTTGTGTTTGGAACTGATTTTCATACTATTACCTCTTATAGGCAATGAATTGATTGAAGGTTATTATCTTACCAATCTAAATGAACTATCCAAAATGATGACGAGAGTAGGTGCTATCAATATTATTACACGACAAGAAATTCAATTCCTTAACGCTTGTTAGTTTTTCTATAAGAAGTAGAGAGTTAAAATGGATTTCTTAACAAATAACATATTTACCTATTTTGTCTAGACAACTAGTCCTAAGTCCCGATAAAGAAAGAGAATTATGTTAGGAGCATGCATTCAATGTGTCCGACGATTGCAACGTTTGTGTGTACAACACGTTCGGATATGGACGAGTGTACTAACCTGATGCACCAAACACACACCGAATATATAGTTTGACGTGTAAAACTCTATCATGAAAAATATGAATATTAACGTGAAGAGATTTGAATTTATGAATCGTTACAAAAATAAAAATAAAATTTTAATCCACTGAATTACCCGTGCAGAATACATATGTACCCCGTGTTCTTTGTTGATAGAGTAGGTGTAGGGTTAAAATGGAGAAAGAACACAACGGGAGGGAGGGAGAGAGAGAGAGAGAGAGAGTAAAGAGAGTTTGTTAGATGTCCCAATTACAAGAAAAATCCAACCTTTTCCATTACAAAGTCATAGGTCAACACCACCCTTCACTCTTGAACAAATCTCCACCACAATCAATTGAGAAGAAAATCACGGCAATAGGCATAGTCAATGCAAGCAACAACGATGGACACGTGTACGGTTGAGATGCAAACCACACATCAATCTTATTCCTCTTTCTCTACTCCATTTATTATATTTAAATTGCCAAACTGAAGAAAAGGGAAGGAAAGAGTATTAGGATTGGGTTCACTTGGGGGAGGTAGATAATCGTCATAGTAGTTATAATAATGAATTACCCCACTATGATCCCTATTTATTGAAATGTCAACATGAAATATAGCCGTTAAATTAAGACGATTCGTAATGCCACATTTGACCCTGATCAATTACCCACATGAAGGAATAAGAAGTAAGTTCGTACTTGAATTGATCAATTTCACGATCTTATTTTAGGACCATAATCTTATCAATATCTTAGCAATGCGAATGGCATTAAATCCATTTGGGAAAATGTTGGTGGAGTACGTTGAAGTTTATGTCTTTTTGCAACCTCCATTTGGTCCTCAAATAGAAAGTTTTGCCGCCTAAACCCTTGGAGTGTGTGTGATACGTAATTGATATATTATGAAAGGCCTTAAGAGAGGTCAAAAGAGAAAAATGAAATATTATTCATTATTTTAAAATTGGTGGTGAAAAAGAAAAGAACTTGATAAATAAGCAATGAATATATGTTTTAAATAAGTAACCAATTTTGGGCGTTGTATCGAATTGAGATAGAGAGAGATGATTTTAGTGGTGAGTGGGGAGGGAATGCAAAAGATGCTTCAAAGAAAATGGGTAGAAACTCAATTGGCAGTGTTACGAAGGTCTTCATATATTATTGATATGATCAATTAATAAAAATACATTATATTAATTTATTAAAAATAATTTTTATAAATAAACGAGACCAATTTCAACGTATGGTGCACTAACGTCATTCTTACTTAACGTGCATGCCAATAACATCATATATCAAACTCATCCAATATCTCCACGAGTACACGATAGTAATGATTTAATAGAGATATATAATGTATATGAGAAGCGTTTTCATCATACCTTGAGTGTTGAGCCATGGTTGGTGATATATACTTGTCTTTATGGTTAGTGGGAACTCCGGAGGCAATCATACCTCTAAATGTCCTCTAGATGGTATTGTAGCCAATCTTTATAAAAAAGAAAAAAAGTGAACGAAATTGATTTTAAAGTGAAAGACGGTAATCCATTTAGTATAAGAATTGTCCACTTATCGATAAATAAATTATTTATAATTTTTATTTATTATCTTTATAATTTTATAATTACAGATTATACGTGCATTTGTGATTGAAGTGGTGGTTCAATCATAAATACATAAAATCACAAATATACTGAATAGAGACAATAACTGTTTTTTTTCGAATAAATTCAGTTACCCTTTTTAATTTTTTTATTTTGTAATTATATATTATGTATACATATATGATTGTACAACATCAGCAAGCAGACAAGCCTTATCACTTAATTTGAGATATGACCTCTAACTAAGACAAGTGTGTGTGACTGTGTGATTTTTTAATCTGACAATAAATTAATAAAATTAATTAAAATCACACCGTCATGAAATTAGAAATTGAGGTAGATATATTGCTTAATCATAGATACTGGATATATTACTTAATTTTTTCTTTTTTCCATATTCTTTTTCTTACTTTTATCCTTTCTATATTTATTTATTTATATTCTTATTCCCCACATACTTTCTCTCGTCTGTCTATCTGGATAGCGCCATTCAAACGGAATGGTTGTACAGTAGTTGGTGTGCAACTTGTCCTCCTTTTTACGAAAGTGATTCACATCCCTATTTCCATTATGAAATTATATAAATTTTAGCTTTATTCTTTTATTTGATATTATTCTTTTTTGAATAATACTTGCCTATTCATCCATCGATATCTATACTAACAATTAATGTGGTCTAATTACAATTGCACATATCATTTGTTATTTCAAAATCAAGAAATTAATAAATAAGAAAAATAATTTTTTTAGGAATAAATTCAGTTACTCTATGTGTTGCCCTTATTTATTATTTTTCCGATTTTATAATTACAGACAATGTGTACCTTTGTGATTGGACCACATCAGTCACTAAAAATCACCTATTCATTAGTTAGTAGACAAGTATGATATATATATATTTTTCATAAGTACAATAATTAAAACTAAAATGAAGATTCCATTTCCAAACCTCTATAAAAGCTCCATCCACAATGGCATTGTGAACTCAAATGGATATTCAGTTTTAATGACTACGAATATTTATATAATTACTATAATCAAAAAATATATTTATATAATTATTATTTCTTTTGGAATACGCAATATAAGTCTTGCTAGTTGTTACTAATTTTAGAGATTATTTATGATGCGTATATATTTTGATGCACTAATGATGATTTAGCTATTTGTTGCATGTATGTTATCTCGAACTAAATTTGAACAACCGTGATGCAACCATAACCATACAAAAATCATGGGCAGCTACACAAGCTCACGTGTTTCTTTTTCGGGAAAAAAAAAATAGGTAACGTGGCGTAATGTGATTGGAGAAAAAAATGAATTTGATTCGGTTGCACCTATGAATTGCAAGTTAAGCTTCAAACCATAGAAAAATTGAAATCTTACCCAACAAAAAAAAAAAAATATATATATATATATATATATATAATACGCATTTCATAAACTATTTGATTCTCCAAGGAATAATTGAGGTTAAATAATACGTATGGTGTTGAGTTTGATCATATAAATTGAAAATCTATAAATTATTCCAGTGTTAAAATTGACTAGCCGTAAATAAGAAAAAAATTATATGTATTATATATATATATATATTCGGTATAAAGTAGAGTAGAAGACTAGAAGGAAAAAACAAGGTGTAAGTGTAGTATCCGCCCAACAGTTTGTTTGTTAAATTTTAATGCTTAATAAACTCAAGGTCTAAAATTTGAGTCTCGCTAATTATTTTTTGTGACTAGTTTTCGCTACGATTCACGTGAAAAAACGTCTTTCCGGATTCTCATAAATTAATCGAGTTGTTGAGTGTTTTTAAAATTCGTGCCTTAATCAGAGACTCCATATTAAAATTTAAAAAAAAAAAAAAAAAAACAAGAGCGCAAAAGTTGTCAACACTCAAATTATACATGGACTTTGGAGCATCCCCTTTGCACGCGCGAGACAGGAGGGTAGAAACAAGACAAAATGGCATAAAGTGCAAAGGATTTTGGTCCCACAGAGGCGTTACTAAGACTGTTTTGTTTACTTTTATTTTTTTATTATTGGAAAGTAATAAATGCAATTCACATTTTATACTGTGTCCCAAAAAAAAAATAAAAATAAAAATTTGTATATTTTGGAAAAGTATGACTCAAACACTACAACAGTTCCCACATGTTTTGCGGGGACTGGTGTGTAAGTACCAGAAAAATACACTTGATTTTAAAATGAAATGACGTCATTGCCCCTAATTTAATCTATGAGAATCAAATATGAAGACTATTTACGTCATAAGCTCAATATAAAAATACATTTATTAGACATTTAGACCCCTTTTATTTGACTATAAATATATATATATAAAAACATATATATAGGAGGGTAAATGAGACTCTCATCTCAAGCTATTTGCGGATGGAGGCTGCAGGTCCATATGTCCATCCTCACAAACTCACATGACACCTCCACAACTCCCCTCCCCTCCCCTCCCCTCCCCTCCCTCTCTTTCTCTCTCTAAACCACTTTCTCTCTCTAGACTTTGTTCCTTCTAGTTTTTTAGTCCAATTTGATGACTTCTAGTGATTTTTTTGCATATATTTTACTCTCCCCCTCACCTCTCCATTAGCTCACAGCTCATCCTCTCTCGTGTCTGTCACTCACCTCTCTCTCTCCCTCCCTCTCTCTCTCTACCAAGATGGGAAGCAATAAGGCCATCAGTCTGGAGGAGATCAAAAACGAGTCCGTTGATCTGGTATATACATATATACTTTTCTCTTAATTTCCTTCTACACACACACACACACACACACACACACACATATATATATATATCTCTAGTGATTTATATATGGGTTGTCTTCAGATATGTTTTCTGATCAATCTAGTATAATTTTCAGATATCATTTGGTTGACATCTATAGCAAAATTCGACTTTTTTAAGGTTTTTTTTTTTTTTGTGTGTGTGTGTGTGTGTGTGAGAGAGAGAGAGAGAGATCTCTACGAGGCAATATTTTAATCTTTTCGGTAGTAGACGGTGCTCGTAATCTTACTTTAGTTTAATAACTTAACCTTCTGATATAACGGTTTAAAATTTATATGTGTATATATATATATATATATATATAAAGATTTTAATCTCATAATCAAAGTCAGTCTCAGTTCATATCTTAGAATTTAGAGTTGGATTTAATCTTTTTTTATAATTGTGTGATTAGTATAATTATATATATTCTGTGGTGAATTACGGTATAATTATATATATATATTGTGGTGAATTATGTAGTAAGAAAAAAAAACCGACACCATCACCACAGTCTAGGTCCCGGAAATGGAGCGCAGAAATAGTTTGGTGTAATCAATTTGATGATTACAAAAAGAAAAGCAAAAAAAACGTTTGACACACGTGCACAAATATATACACGCTTGTGTTGTATATGAATTTGTGTAAGTATATGTGTGTTTATATATATTATATATATATATTGTTGAAATGAATAGCAGTGGTTGGCGATTCAGTTCCGTTAGATTGGCTGTGTAGTTTTGTCGCTTGTGCTTCTGTTTAAAATCAAAGCTGGGTTTAAGGGAGAGAGAACAACGAGTTTGTTCCTGAGGAGCGTAAAATACACGCGCTCTGTTGCTTGGAAAAATGAATGATCCGAACGTTTCACGATGGACCCTAAGTGATTGGGGTTCACGCGCTCAAATTTATTTATTTATTTTCCTAAGTATTAATAACGTTATTAATTATAAAATTCAATGTTAAAATTGACGGTCCATCTGTTACGGAATCAGGATGTGATGATGGACAAGAATGTCAACATGATAAACCATTTGATTTTGACAGTGATATTCCAATAAGATACTAATATAATATAATATTCCACGAATGACCTCAGTGGGTATTTTTGCCATTTGAAAGGGATATTTTCTATTTAGGGATTTGGGTTTTGGTGGTAATTCTTTAGTGGAGTAGTATTTGTTTTTTCCTCTTTTGGTAAATAAATATATTTCTTTAGTACATTCAGCGTTTTAGTTTGTTACATTAAAATAGAGTATTTATTTGTGATTAATTAATAGCCTAATATGTCTCCTCTTTTTTTTCTTTTTCTTTTTTCCTATTATTAGATGTATCCATTATTAAACAATTAATTAATTTGAAGTTTTGAACCATGTTTGCTGATCCATTTGTAGCGTCTGATACATTCATGTAGGATCCACACGTACGGGTCACACATGAAAGCATCAAATGGGCATAAATGGCCCGGTTTGAGATTTTGACTAGTTATCTTTGTTTAATTATTTATTTTAAGGTTACCTTCCCGCAGGAAAAGAAATTTAATTTATATAAAGGACAATTTTGATAACATCAGTCTAGTAGAAGAAAATTACCAGTTTTAGTGATATATATTAGCTTGGATTTATTTTTTTTATTTTTTTATTTTTTTATTTTTTGCAATGACTGTTACTATATTGAATGATATTTCGTGGAAACTGTTTACATTTGAACTCTATAATGAATATAAAGGTTTTTTTTTTTTTTTTGCCTAAGCAAGTTTGATTATCATGTTCCATTAAGAATGTAATCAAAATTTTCATAATTTAATGTGCTTTTTTCTTTTTTCTTTTTTTTCCCCCCCTTTTTTTGGGGACTTCTACTGATTTTTCAGTTATAATCTGAAAGCCAGTTACTTATTTTATTGTTCTAATATGGAGAACTAAGGTGATGTTTGATTACTCTCAATCGCTTAATTCTGAACAAACTAAGCGCTTAGGTCACTTAAAATAAAATAAAATTTTAAGTGATAGGACATCACTAGTCATTGAATGCTGAATATTAAAAATTCGAAAATATATCAAATATTATTATTGTATTTTTTTAATTATCACTTAAAAACTTTAGTACTTAAAATTCATCTCTTCAAATTTCCCGTACTTATTTTCAGTTTTATCATACAGCACCTAAAATATTATTGTCTTTATTTTTGCGAGTTAGACAAGTATCTGTGATATGTAATGTGAGTTCATTGTGTTTTATGTCGAGCTACCTGTCTGTCGAAACTAGTAACAACACAAGCAGTAAGACATGGCTACGTTAGTGTAACAATCATTTATTCGAAGCAAAAACGAAAGCAGATTAATGGGATGATTTCCAAACAAAGAAAACTATATATGAACTATCTTCCTAAATAGAGACATGACTCTGAAATTGAAACCTTAAACCATGTAAGAACAATTGAAGTCGGTATTTTTGCCTGTATTCTTATGTTTTTCTTCTTGTTTAGTTGTAAGTTAACAAACTGTTGTGTAGCTTCTTCATGTTTATTTGGGGATACTGATCGTGGTTTCTGATTGCAGGAAAGAATTCCGGTAGATGAAGTGTTTGAGCAATTGAAATGTACAAAAGAAGGTCTATCATCAGACGAAGGAGCCAACCGGCTTCAAATTTTCGGACCAAACAAACTAGAGGAGAAAAAGGTCTAATTCAGCATATCTGATAGTTGTCTAGTGTTCTCTCTTCTTCTATGTTTTTTTGTTTTATGAAGTTGCAGCATATGATGGTTTGATGATTTTACAAACAGGAGAGCAAGGTCCTCAAGTTTTTGGGCTTTATGTGGAACCCTTTATCATGGGTGATGGAAGCTGCTGCTTTGATGGCTATTGCCCTAGCAAACGGCAATGGAAGACCACCGGATTGGCAGGATTTCGTAGGTATCATTGCGTTATTGGTCATCAACTCTACGATCAGTTTTATTGAGGAAAACAATGCTGGCAATGCAGCAGCAGCACTAATGGCTGGACTTGCTCCAAAAACAAAGGTGAAACAAAATCTATACGAACACGAAACATTTTCACATGTTCTTCCTGTCATATTCAGTATTCTCATCTTTGTTGACTTATTTGTGGGTAATGAAATGTAGGTTCTGAGAGATGGTAGATGGACTGAGCAGGATGCAGCTATCCTAGTTCCGGGGGACATCATAAGCATTAAGTTGGGAGATATAGTGCCAGCCGATGCTCGGCTTCTTGAGGGCGATCCCCTGAAGATTGATCAATCAGCTCTCACCGGAGAATCCCTCCCCGTTACTAAGAACCCCTCGGATGAAGTGTTCTCTGGTTCAACCTGTAAACAAGGTGAGATTGAAGCAGTTGTTATCGCTACAGGAGTTCATACTTTCTTTGGTAAGGCTGCACATTTAGTGGATAGCACCAACCAAGTTGGGCATTTTCAGAAGGTTCTCACTGCCATTGGTAACTTCTGCATTTGCTCGATTCTTGTCGGGATAATCATTGAGCTTATAGTCATGTACCCAATACAGCACCGAAAGTACAGAGATGGAATTGACAATTTACTGGTTCTTTTGATTGGAGGAATTCCGATTGCTATGCCAACTGTTTTATCCGTTACCATGGCCATTGGTTCCCACAGGCTCTCTCAGCAGGGTGCAATCACCAAGAGAATGACTGCCATTGAGGAAATGGCGGGCATGGATGTTCTCTGCAGTGACAAGACCGGAACTCTTACCCTGAACAAGCTATCTGTTGACAGAAGCCTGATTGAAGTGTTCGCAAAAGGCGTGGAGAAAGAGCAAGTAATGCTGTATGCAGCAAAGGCTTCACGAACCGAAAATCAAGATGCTATTGATGCTGCCATCGTAGGGATGCTTGCAGACCCCAAGGAGGTATGTCTGAATTATATCCTTCCATTGATGATTGTCCCATTTTTTATTATTTTCTGCAAGAATTAATCAAGCATTATACTCTTATAGTTGTTTTATTTTTATCTCTTGTTACTTTGGGCAGGCAAGAGCTGGAATTAGGGAGGTTCACTTTCTTCCCTTCAACCCTGTGGACAAGAGGACTGCTCTGACCTACATTGATGCTAGTGGAAATTGGCATCGAGCCAGCAAAGGTGCCCCCGAGCAGGTATGATTATTTTTCTTTATTACAATAAATGAAGCCTGAGACTTTCAGGATGAGATAATTGAATGGTGTCTTGTTTCGTTCTAATAATTTACGAATAGATACTAGCCCTTTGCAACTGCAAGGAGGATGTCAGGAGGAAGGTTCATTCTGTGATCGAGAAGTTTGCTGAACGTGGGCTTCGATCTTTGGCAGTTGCTAGACAGGTTTAGAAATACAACCCTGATGCATTTGCTCTAGCTTATTTAACAGAATGCTTTTGTCTTACTATTGCTTTCATGATTTGTTTGCAGGAAGTACCTGAGAAAACAAAAGAGAGTCCTGGGGCACCATGGCAGCTTGTTGGCCTATTGCCTTTGTTTGATCCACCAAGGCACGACAGTGCAGAAACCATAAGAAGAGCTCTTAATCTTGGTGTTAACGTAAAGATGATTACCGGTAATAATTATTATATGCTATTCCTCTTAATCTAGATTTTATTTGCTCCTATTGTTTTTGTTTATATACTTTTCTCCTCAATGCTCAGGGGATCAACTTGCAATTGCCAAGGAAACTGGTCGCAGGCTAGGAATGGGAACAAACATGTATCCTTCTTCTTCATTGCTCGGCCAAGACAAGGATGCATCCATTGCAGCCCTCCCTGTAGATGAGTTGATCGAGAAGGCTGATGGATTCGCTGGAGTATTTCCAGGTGGGATTTCTGTTGCCATATTTTCCATCCGAAAAAAATAATAACACCACTTTTCTCTTGTATAGGTCATTGAACAATTCCCTTCCAATCCCTTCTGATTATGCTGTGAATTTTTTGAAAATACATCAAACTATACCAAAACTTTCTGAAGTTTCCTAGATTCTTCAACTCTCAGACATTTACCATATTGTGGATAAAACAATGCATTCATTGCATTTCTTCAAGTTTGATTTAATCCAAAATTCCAAAATTTTCCAATGGCAAAACCTCAGATTTTGAAAATTTGAATGTGCTTTGTTGTTCTGATGGGCTGCTCTCTGTATGATAGAGCATAAATACGAAATTGTAAAAAGGTTGCAAGAGAAAAAGCACATTTGTGGAATGACGGGAGATGGTGTCAATGACGCCCCTGCTTTGAAGAAGGCCGATATCGGAATTGCTGTTGCTGATGCCACTGATGCTGCTAGAGGTGCGTCCGACATTGTCCTTACTGAACCGGGGTTAAGTGTCATCATAAGTGCAGTGCTCACTAGCAGGGCAATTTTTCAAAGGATGAAAAACTACACGGTAAGTCAACTCTTTTCTTCCTAGAGAGATCAAAGTTTTATGACCTACTTGTGAAGTGCCTAACTATACTCTCTTTTGACCTTTCTCCTTTTCAGATCTATGCTGTTTCAATTACCATCCGAATTGTGGTAAGTGTATTGGTTTTTTATTTTTTTTTCAATCTACAATTCAGCTACTTTGTTTATAAAACTTGATTGATTCTTTATTCTCTTTTATACTCAATGTTGCAGTTTGGGTTCATGCTCATTGCTTTGATATGGAAGTTTGATTTTGCTCCTTTCATGGTTCTAATTATTGCCATTCTAAATGATGGTAAGATCAGATCAACTATTGAACATGGATTTCAATCAAATATAAATATCCTTGTTGCTTAGTTTGGTTTTTTTGTCATGTTCATGATTGATTCGTCGTATAATTCTAGGAACAATCATGACAATCTCAAAGGATCGAGTGAAGCCATCTCCAATGCCAGACAGTTGGAAACTAAAAGAGATTTTTGCAACAGGCATTGTGCTTGGTGGTTACCTGGCACTAGCGACAGTTCTGTTCTTCTGGATTATGATAGATACTGATTTTTTCCATGTAGGAAAATCTAATTTACTACGCGAAAAATATTGTGGTTACACGAATGTCAAGGATTCTTTTTATTTATTTATTTTGTTCAAAATCAGGACAAATTCGGTGTAAGAGCAGTGAGAGACAACCCTCGTGAAATGATGGCATGCTTGTACCTACAAGTGAGCATTGTGAGTCAAGCTCTCATATTTGTTACAAGGTCTCGCAGCTGGTCCTTTGTAGAACGCCCTGGATTACTCTTAGTCACAGCTTTCTTCGTAGCTCAATTGGTAAGAATTTTCCTAATCTCGCGATCTCTATATGTCGAAATCCATCTAGAGAAGGCCAAGTTTTTGCTCGTTTAAACACCAAAGTATTAATACCACTGAGGCACGTGGTCTGGTGGTATCTCCTCTCCTTTCAAAGCGAAACAGGAGTGGACTTATTTAAATGCGTTAGGAAACTTAATGAAATGCAATGTGAAGCGCAATGGACTTAACTGATCTTCATTAAAATGTGCTAGTACTCTGTACTCTATGGTGAATTTGGTTCTATGCATATATTGGATGTTAATATTCTGACACTGAAATCAGGAAAACTATTTGGATAGCTTGGTCTAATGAACATGTAAATTATTCTGTTGTACTTGATAGGTTGCGACTCTAATAGCTGTCTACGCCAACTGGGGTTTTGCAAAGATAGAAGGATGTGGCTGGGGTTGGGCTGGGGTCATATGGCTTTACAGCGTGGTAACATATATTCCACTTGACATTCTCAAATTCGCCATCCGATACATTCTAAGTGGGAAGGCTTGGGATACTCTCTTGGAAAATAGGGTATGCTCGCATTTCAGTTAATGAATCGGTTGAATCTTGGTAATTCGACATGGTTTCTGACTCACTAGCTAATTATGGTGCTTTCTTCTTGTAACAGACCGCCTTTACTACCAAGAGTAACTACGGGAAAGAAGAGAGGGAAGCACAATGGGCAACTGCACAGAGGACTCTACATGGCCTTCAGCCACCTGAATCCTCTAATATTTTCTCCGATAAGAGCAGTTATAGGGAGCTTTCGGAGATTGCAGAGCAAGCAAAGAGACGGGCTGAGGTTGCAAGGTAAGAAATGCAGTTTAGTTTTTCTACATTAGTTCATTGAAACACTCTCATGCCTAGACCACTCAAGTTTGCTGGTGAAAATGATTTCAGAAACTTCTTTTATCGAGCCACTGACATCTAAGCCTCGGCTCTTTGGACACCCATGTTATGGTTCCTAAGCGTCGAAAGAAGCAACTTAACTAAGTCACACAACAATAAGTCTGATTTGTGCCACATTGAGATCTTCCCTTGGAAAAACCATGATGTTTGGAGTATTTTTCAGACATCTGATTGAATACTTAAAAAAAAATAGGGATAGTAATAAATAATCAAATAAAAAAAATGTCTAAAATGAAACGGAATACTGAAATTCTTGGAAATCAAAATAACATACCTATCTCTACTATATGTTAATGTGTTGGTTTAAGCAAGCAGATTCAAGATTTGACATTCACCTTACTTCCATTTCCGCTTAATGCGGATTGGCTTCTTGTTGCAGGCTTCGGGAGTTGCATACGCTGAAGGGGCACGTCGAATCGGTGGTGAAGCTGAAAGGACTAGACATTGATACCATCCAACAGCATTATACAGTCTGAGCAAGCGCTTGAAAGAGAACGTTGGACCCTGTGTTGGTTGAACAAAAAAAAAATGACATAATTAAGAAGCATTGGAGGCATATGTAAGACTAATATTATGTCCAGACTATAGTAGGTTAGAGTGATGTCTCTTTTGATAGCTAGTAATTCAAATGTCAGTTTTACTTGGTGCCTGTCCTAAGTGCAGAGTTTATGCCACTTCTCCTTGCAACAAAACAGCATCAGTTAAACACACACACACAGCAGCAGCGACAAAAAATACACAAAACAAAATTACATGGTGCACCATGGACTTCCAAATATCTATAACTAAATTAAGAATTATGTGTGAGAAAATATTTTGCCTTTTAGGTATATTGTATATAATTAAAATGCAATTCAGGACCAAAAAATAGAGCGTAACATAGACAAACTATTTGACTTCCTATCTGTTATTCAAATCCCATCCAGTTCAGTAGCATTAATTAAATTAGGCTACTTTTAAAATAAAAAAAATAAAATAAAACTGTTCTTAAAAATTTGGTGACTACACCAATATAGTATACTCGATGCTTCCTTATCTTCTTTGACCATAGCGAAATAATGCCCTTGTTGACTTATCTTATTTTTGTCATGGTAAAATTATACTAACCTTCACAAGGCTTCCCAAGTTCCCACACAACACATATACATATAAAATTTCAATTTATCTTGTCAATCAACACATAAATTTGTTTCGTGGTGATGACATCAGTATCATTCATAAGTTGAAATTATCCGACTTTCATACTCCAAATCGTTACCGATGAGGTTTGCCGCATGGTCCTGCTAAACATTGTCCACTCAATAAAAATGCACAATCCAATAAAATTTGCCCCAACTACTCTCAATAAATTGATGTGTATTTTCATTGGGTGAACATACCAGCACGATACCCGATATATGTATGTGTTTAATCCAAAAATCATTATTCTTTATGGAAGTGCAAGAATTGCCATTCATTTTAGCAAAAAGACATATATATATATATATATATATATATATATATATATATATATATACCTTTGTGCAATAATTGACACAATTTTTTCATTTACTATGATTCTTAAGAGCACATACCCTGAACTACAATTTTACAATTTTTTTATATTTGTATCTATGTTACAAATTAAATTAATACATACATACATATATATATATATATATATATATATATATATATATATATGACAAATATGAAGTGTATCATCTCTATTTTATTTAATTTCATTTATACCAGCAAAAATCTGCTAGTTATACAAACACCAAATTACACAATCTGCAATATATAAACAGAATTTTCTGAATACACTCGTTGTAACACTCATAATATCCCATAATCCTTCATTTAATATCATTCAGTTAAATAAACAAAAAAGGGACGACAGATCTCGTGCAACTCTCTCACATTGTGACTGAAGTTAATGGACAGTTAATGGACAAATGTGCGCAAGATAACGGATCGAGTGAGAAAAAACAAAGCCATTAATTATTTATAGCAGACGCATATTTTTTAATTATTTATATAATTCATGTTGGGGCAATAAAGAGAGGACATGAAGAATACGAGAAGAGAGAATATCGACAGAGGGCATAACTTTATTTATTTATTTATTTATTTTTATATTCAGACATGCCATTTAACATTTTCCAACAAACCCCAATGCGAGTCACTATAAACATCAAAGGGAGAGGAAATTAATCTAATTACACATTTCTACAATGAACCAAACAAAAATATTATGACAGCTTCCAAGACATAGTAATCATATTGAAAAAAAAAAAAAAAAAACATAACATAACAATTTAAATGATAAATTGTGTCATATATGACTAAATTGCATTTTAGTTCAGTGACTAACATTTGACTTTCCAGCATCATTTATTGAGTCGGGGAAGGGGGATTACATTATATACACATCAAGTAAAACACAGATTGAACTTGCAGCCAGTATCATCTCTGCAATTGCTTTGTATACGATATAGAGAGCACTTCTCCGGCGGAAAGAGCAGGCACTAAGCAGGATTCCTGTGCGGAAATATTTGTTGAAGAGCTTGGGGCAGGTTCAACACAATCTCCGCGTACGCTGGGACACAGACAAAAATATTTTAATGTCAGTAGGAGCTACTTCGTCGAATGCACTTAATGCATGGCAAAGGCATAAAGACCATGAAAACATATTTCCAAGCTCTCGACAACTGAATGGCTACAGGTTACCTCAAGGTCACACACCAAATGCAGTCCTACAACTATATGCAGATATATTTTTATTAATATAGACTTTAATGACGGCATAAAAACTATGTGTCGCTGTGACAGGTGATCCATAATAGTTCCACAAGAATGTCAGGGAAGACCTTGTCAAAGCTTTTACTATTAGTAGACAGCCTAGATGAATAAAATTTCATTCAGAGGAAGTAAACCTTCTGGTAAACTCAAAGTTCGTAATGCCTCCTCCGCATAAGATAAACGTGCTGGTATAGGGTGACTTCCTACAGCTCCATTTCCCTTCCTGATCATTGTTGCAGGATTTGAAGATTTCTTGGATACATGCATGGGCCATGCCAGGGCACTGATTCGAGTTGGAAGTACGGATAGGAGATCTGCATATCTAAGACTAACCGTTACCTTGCTGCAACAAGAAAACTCAATTTAGCACCATAGTGTGATTACATTGTTCTTTCCCATAGCAAATGAAACACACAATCACTTTGCCCTTGTGGGGACTTGAACCCTCAAACTTCCACTTTGGGAGGTCGAGGATAAACCACTAGGCTACACCCCTTGGTGGTAGCGTAAGCAATATTTTAGATGCTAATTTTTTTAAAAATAGTTAATTCTATTCAATTTTTTTGAAGCAAACAGTAATTCTGATATTAAAATAATCACAAAATGGCATCGCCAGAGGCAGCGGCCCATGTTTTGTTTTGTGCCGTCATTAAATGAATGATCAGCCAGTTGCCCAATATAATAAAAACCTACTACTGGACGATATGATAACTTTTATCAGTTTTTGAGTGGATGAGTATATAGTTAATGAATAATCCAACACTATTGTTGGAATTTTTGAAATTGTTGAGTATTTAAACAGCCACATTGTCATGTTAGATGCACTGATGTACATCATCCCATGATTTATGGGTTGAGTTGAGTAATTAAATTAAACCATAGGATAATTACTTCAGCAAAATAAACCCATTTTATGATAATAAACACAGTCAATCAGAAGAAAATGCACCAACCAATCAAAATCCTCTAGTACAAATTCAACCATGTGATAAGGAAGACTATGATAAAGCTCTCCAATTTGATTTCCATACAATTCCTTAATAAGGCGAACCTGCGTGAGAACATGCAAAGGATTGTGAGAAGAATGTAGATCTATCCTGGATTCACAATTTTAAAACAACCTAATGTAAGAAAACATAAGCACATCAAATGAGTTGAACATATTAACACCTCTTTTAGGATGGAAAGAACAATAGAATCTGGTTGGTGTAAATGTGGTGAAGGCTTAAATCATTAACAAGGTAATTTGATGGCGTTTTTGCATTTCAGATTTCAAAGGACATTATAAACCACAATATCCTAGATCTGAACCCTCTCTATGAAAAAAAAATTCCTTAAATACTTATCGACATGAATGATAAAATAGCATGTACACTCTATTCATGTTTATGGATTTCAATTACTTACTACCTTTCAGCTTCATTACATGGACTCTCCTATTTTCCTTTACGTAACCGTGTCGACATGACATGGCTATGGGTATGGGTATAAGATATGTGTCTGACACACGAGCCAAAACCAAACACCCTGATCCTTCACATGACATGATTAAAGAAGAAGAAGAAGAAACTCAAATTTAATAACACAGATGAATTTCCTATCAGTGAGATAGACAAAAAACTTTTTTTCTTTTTACCACACCTCATTTAATTTGAGTAATAATTGAGTACATCCTTACAAAACAACACTAAACATTACACTTTATTATAACAGTCAACGTATCCAACTTCTAGACACATTTCCCGTATCCTAATTATTGAAATATGAAAGGTCCAACACTTAGACACACAGCTGCAGCCAAGAGTCCAAGACACTAATCCAACTCCGGGTAACATAGCTTTTCAGACAAAAGTTACAGTTACAAGAGTACAATCTAAAATCCAATTTACCTAAGTGACATGGATATATTGATTGATCAAGTTTGTCTTTTGTTTTAGAATCACTACTCCAATTTAGCCTGATGCTAATAAAAATGATTGCTGGTAGCAGTGAAGAGTGAATATGTTTTACAGTTTCTCTTGTGCAAAGCTGAGGGGTGCACCATGGAATCATTTCAACACAGTTACAGCTCAAAGGTTCAAAAAGGAAATATTGTCCTTCAGCAAAAAGCAGAGGCATCACAAAAACAACTTCCCTACAACTTGTAAAAAAAAATGTCAACCATTTTGCTCATGCAAGTCAAAAAGATATTGACGAAGACCCAAAAAGTGGCACTTGAGAATTAAAATTGAAAAATACATGCCTAAGATCTGGAACTGTACCAGCTAAAGCTTTCACATATGACTCCAGTTTGCAATCGATGAATGGGAGAAGAGAGACTTGCAGGTTGATTTGTGTGAGTTTGGTGAAAGAATAGGAAAAATTGTGCGTCTCACAAAGGTGTAGAAATCTTCATGGAGATGCACAGCCCATTAAAAGTTGCACTGTAATGAATAGTTCAGGATAGCAAAGTTAAGACCATGGATAAAAGCAACCAAATTTGGAGTCCACCTACCGAAGGTTGGTATAAAGTCAAAATAAAGGCCATGCTCATTGAAGGCGAGCATTGGCATTTCTATTAGGGATAATAAAGAGGAGTTATTTGCTACTAGGTCCAGGAATGTGACCAATGGTGGTCTATGGTAGTGGCCGAGGCATTAACGTTTTCGAAAGAAGACTTCGATGAATCTAAATTTAAGAGAGGACATGATGTATACTAGGAAAGAATGGGAAGAGAATTCATGTGGCCGACACCACCTCTATGGGATAAAGGCAAGGATGAAAATGATGACGACTTTGATGAATCGTTTGGGAGACTCTTGCGAAGTAAACCATGCAGATGCTAGCTTGGTTGGTCTATCTTTCTATGTCCTTAAAGCATCACATAGCAAATATAGGGTAAATTAGGCTGCTTATGGAATCATTTTTGCTCAAAGTATTGAAGACTATCGAATTTGGTTTAAAGATTCCAACAATTTTTCTCACATTTTTACTTACTGAATCATCCCATTTCTTATTCATTATTCTCGTCCCCTTTTTCCCCCTTTTTTCAACTTCAGTTTTGTTCCAATAATAACTGTAAAGCTTGGAAGCAGAATAGTATAGCAAGGACAGAGCATGTTGGTGGCAGTTAATGGTTCCTTAGAAGTTTTGAAGGTTGGATTTGGAGCTATAAAATGTGTCAAAACTTTGTATTTAGAGCAAAATTTTCACAATACAACCAGCATTTTAATGAAAATTTTGAAGGCATAAAAAATAGTTGAGAAATTTGGCACAATGACATAGCTATCTTTAAAGAAAATGCATAACTGCAACTATGTGGACTACAGATACCAACAATATACCTGCTCTCGTCTATCGACATAAGCTTGCAACAGTTCTCCAACATGATCTATGAATTTCTGAAACCAAATTATTAAGATGCTATATTGAGAACAAAATTAATAGGCCATATATATCATAGGAAGATCTTTAAGCAAACAACCTCACCATTGCATTGGAAGAGAGAAGATCATTTTCTGTTTCACGTATTGGCAGAAAGAATGGAACTGTGTGTTCAAGGACAGTCATCTTTTCAAGAAATGACTTGCTCTCGAGCACACAATGGTACAGCTCACAAGGTTCTCCTGCAAATATTAGAGAAACGGATCAATCAGCTTCCCAATTGCTTAGTAGACGAGGATTTTCAGTAGACAGACTAAATAATTCTAAATGTGTGTCAGTGGGTTTTAAAAAAATAAAAATAAACCAACACTAGCTACAAAATGATGTAAATAATCTACCTTGCAAGAATCTCCCCACCCCAAAGAATCAACTCATAAATAGTTCAAAATTCTTGAAAAGCATAACTAACAAAAAAACGTTAGACTGAAGCCTAATGTCACGGGTATGGACCTTTCCAAGCTCGCGTGTGTAACACTTAGCTCTGGTAAGAGTTGTGCAAGGTCCCTGATCTAGACTTAGAGGGAATAATGAATAGGTCTACACCATTTATCAAAATTTGCTCTTAACTAATTTAAACAGAATTTCAAATTAAAACTAAATAAACAGAAATTTCTATTTAACTAACAAGAAAGTGGATTAGACTCATCAAAGTGATAATCATGCTTGTCACAATTATAAGCAATAAAGTAAATCAATTACACAAAAATATCAGATTTATCTGAAAAACCCAACGGGAAAAAAAAAAAAAAAAAATTTATAATAACAATAAAAAACAATAAAAATAAACCATGGGACCCAGGGAGGCAAATAAAATCCACTATGCATAGGTTACAGACTAAATTACAGACTAACATCAAGAACCTTAGCCCTCCCGACTCAAACTTATGCAAGACCAATCTGAGATTTCTCGTCTGCTGATCTGTCGACAGACTTCGTTCCCCATGAACTCTACTTCTCTATGGATCTTCAATCTCCTTGCAAGTAAAGTCCAACCGTGTCTGTAGGTTTTGTTGTTGAAATCCTTTAAGCGCAGAACTGATACTTTAACAACTCACTGATCCACTAACCATGCTAGTTGCATTGATGATGGATGCAAAAATACGAATCCTAGTAATACTATAGAGCACAAGCAATATGGATGAAAAGATTATATGCAAAAGCATACCCTAGAACTTGCACTAGCTACTCTCTCTTATTTTTCTGAACATTGGGCACCTTTATATGTCGAAGAATATGGTTCTAGTGTAGTTGAATTGAAAAGGCCGACTCAGAATCCTGACTACTCAACCAATCGGGCCGAGTGTCGATCAATCAACACAAATCCAGTACACTTAAATTGAAGACTACTGTACTAATTGGATTCGGATTCTCATTTGATTTGTTTCAAAAAGCACTTTAAATTCATATCAAATAGGATGTTGAAGATTGTTAGTATTCATTCTATGGGACCTAAGAACAGTCTCAACACATAAGAAGAACACCTTCTTTTTTTTGACAAGTAATGATTCATGAAAAGAGTTCAAAAGGGGAACGCATCCCTCAAAAACAACACAAGGCCAAATAGGGCCTCTAAACCCTCAATAAATCCAAGAACTCTACAAGCTCTTCCAAGGATTTATAATTTCTACCTAGGACCCAACAAAAGAGAGTGCTAAGAATGGAGAACTTCAACGACCCAATATGATTTTCCTTTCCTTCAAATGATCTTCTATTTCTCTCAAGCCACGAACAGCACCAAACGCACAAAGGAGTAACCCTCCAAGAGTCAAAAGCTTCGGCCCCCACTATAAAACCTCTCCAAGCCTCAATCAAGCCTTTGTTAGATCGTGGCATAACCAAGTGTGTGTTTGTATGAGAGAGAGAGAGAGAGAGAGAGAGATTGATAGCAGCATAATAAACAAGTGCGTCAATGAAAGCCAAATAGGCAATTCAGCTAAGAAAAGTATAAATAATTCGATTCAAATAATAAACAACGCTAATTGAAAGGAAATTCCTGCAAATGATACAGGATATAAGGAAGATTATAGGCAGGCTGGACCAATCAAATGTACAGACCACAACCAACCTAACCAGGGATAACCCAACCATAACCTGAATCAGAGAATTGCAGCATAATTGGCTTGGCTTGGCTTGGACTAACCATGAGTTGACTGCTAAGCATCAGATTCTGTATATTATGGTGCTCGTCTATTATAATAAGATTGACCCTCAAAAGCATGTTATGGATTCAAACATAAGTATTAGTGATTCAAACATAGCAGAAAGGGGAACCAATATAATATTGTGAACGACATTCCTTTACATTCAGAGCAACAAGCAAGGGTTTTCCCTCTCAATATTTCTACCAAACTTCATCTCAACATGATAATATCGATTTTAATCTTACAATAAAATTTTCGGGACAAAAATCTATAGCATCATTCCAAATCATTTGGCTCTTCTCATCCCCATCCAACAATGATTAGACACTTGAATCAGAATAACTGGGTTGAATGAAGCAGGGAATCAGGGATCCGTGTATCATAGTCATATATAATAAAATGATGGACAAATACTACAAGAGAAAAATAGGAAGGAAATAGAAACTCTTTTAGAAAATTAGAGTGCGCAAGTAACAGGATATATACATATATATATATAAATATTGTATGATAGAAATGGATGCACTCGTAGAGAGATTGTCATCAATATAGTGCACATAAGATGGTTTACCAAATGACATATAATAAAAGGATCAAATAACAAATATCAGCTTACCCTAATTTGTTACATATTGCTTAAGTTAATTTCACGGAAACAACACTAATTTGTTGAGAAAATTGATGTTTATAAAATCCAAGAAACTCGTAAGTTGTTGAAAGAACCAATATCAGCTTACCCGTCAGAAAAAAATAAATTAATCAATATCCGTTTGATAAAGGTCATCCAAATAGTTATTGTTGTCAAAACATGAGATGAGAATATAAATTACATTATCCTAGACCATCTGATTCAGTAAAAATGATGCCGCCTTACCAAGAGGAGATGATAAAATCGCCTTCACAGCAATATTGAAACGAAATGAAAGAACGATGCAAGAGAAAGGAGAATTGCAAAGCAAACTTTATTTGCTGTAAAAATATAATATCTTCAACTAAACTGTAAACCCTAGCAATTACAAGGCTTTATATAAACCTAAGACTAGCTAATTACCAAATATAAAATAAAATCAAAATAGGAAAACTGCTGAAAATCATAAAACTACTCAAAAGGGAAAGTAGCTGAAAATTAGAAAACTACTTAAAATAAGGAATCTTTCAAAACATGGAAAGTTTATGGAAAACACAAATTCCACTTGCAGAAATTTAAAATTCTGCCTGAATCAGTCTCCCCGAGTTGGAAAGAACTCGCCCTCGAGTTTGGAGCAATTTTCCACTATCAATCAAAAATCCAAACACGGCTTTCCATCCCTTCTTTCTTCTTTCCGAAATCGAAACAAATATGTTAATCTTCTTATACTAACAAAGAATACAATTGCATAAGACTTTCTTTGAAACTGAGTTGATTCATAAAACTTAGTAGAACACGTATTTGGAACTATAAATTTAATCAACTTTAATTTTTGTTCCAACAATCGCATAGCCAGTTGTAGTGCGCTCCAAGAATTCATCCCAAACCATATCATAAAAATAAAATCCATTATTTTTCATCTTCATGGATCCAAAAGCTTCATGATTAACCACGTATACTTCATCTTGAGATCCTTCTTTTGTAACTTCCTTATCATCCTCATGTTTCGGAATCAATAGTGGCTTTTGCATAACCAAGAATTCACCTATATCACCATATATGATGTCATCCTCTTCCTCCGGGTAATCATCATATTTAGGCTTGACCATTGGGGTTGCATCATCTCCCTCGATCAAAAGTAGTTTTTCTTCCCCACCAAGATTTCCTACAAATTCAGGAATTTCCTCCATAAAGCCACCATTCCAACGCCTTTCATCAAGTGGAATAGGTGCTTGTCTGGATGTTGCGCTACTGCAAAAAGGATTGAAAAAGTCTTCTTCATAAGAATCAGAAATCTGGAAATTGATATTTGTCAGCCAACAATGATCAGTTCATTCATCGAGTGATCTATGGCGACGCAAAAAAATACGAATTTTTCGCAATAGTCTCGGTGTCTGACACATCATCATCCACCAAAACATTGTCATCAACCAGTGGGTTGACAACATGTTGACCCAATAGTTGAGTCAACAACTCAACTTGTCTCCGCAAAAACTCTACCTCGCCTTCCTGTTGCTTGGGTAAGGGTTCAGTCAGATTCTGCATCCTACAATTTCCTCCTCTCGGTTGTTGTCGTGGAGACATGATTGAGCAGTCAGAAAGCCGAAACCAAAGCTCTAATACCAAACTGATGCTGCCTTACCAAGAGGAGACGATAAAATCGCCTTCACAGCAATATTGAAACGAACTAAAAGAACGAAGCAAGAGAAAGGAGAATTGCAAAGCAAACTTTATTTGCTGTAAAAATATAATATCTTCAACTAAACTGCAAACCCTAGCAATTAAAAGGCTTTATATAAACCTAAGACTAGCTAATTACCAAATATAAAATAAAATCAAAATATGAAAATTGTTGAAAATCATAAAACTACTCAAAAAGGAAAGTTGCTGAAAATTAGAAAACTACTTAAAATAAGGAATCTTTCAAAACATGGAAAGTTTATGAAAAACACAAATTCCACTTGCAGAAATTTCAAATTATGCCTGGATCAAAAATTCATGGACGGCTTTATTATGAATTACCAGCAAAAGATGTCTCATATTGTATGCCAATCCTTGCTCCTTCTAAACAGCAGATAACCTGCACACAAAAAATATCAAGGTAAATTTTACCTTTGAGTGCTTTTTAATAAAAATTTACCCATAAAAATAAATAAATAAATTCAAGGTAAATTTTGTATTGAATCCAAAAGGCATAAACAATTAAACTTTAGAACCTATATTACCTTTTACCAAATACATCTAATTGTAGCCAAGAATTGCAAGTAAAAAATAAGACTGCACTCCCAATTAGAAAATCTATCTTCGCTCACATTATATGTATTTTAATAAAGGTATGAGATATTGTGTGATGCAAACCACTTCACGCTCAGCAGGAGTTAAGAGAATCTCAATGCTTTAATCTTACATGAAAGTACATATTACTTGAAAGCATATCCATGTAACTTAATCATTTAGTAAAAATATTTTGAGCTAACACCATGTGAATTAATATTTTTACACATTCCTGCAGTTGCAAAGTTCATCATTAGTGGATTAATTAATTAATAAAAGACGGTGTCGAATTGAAAGAAAACAATAATGATAATAATTACAGGGTCGAAAAACTAAGGTACATCCATTCTAAACAAGGATATCCATAATTAATAGAACAGGAATCCTGTAGATATCCATTCTACACAATGACCCAGAAGTAATTTGAAATAGGAGACCCTAAGACAAACAGATAAACGGTCACAAGAATCTCTAATCGTTGGAGTTATGGCATTTCTTCCATTTTTCAATATTTATTTCCAATTATTACAATATAAGAGAGCAATTCTTTCAAGACACGCTCCACAAGCGTCCCAATCAAGTCTTGAACCTTGCACCTTCCCCTTTGCGGGCGACAGCTAATAGCTGGTGGTAGTACAATATTATTCAACATTATCACTGATACATATTAACATTTTCATATTTGAAATTTCGGACAAGCTGCAGGTAGCAATTGTTCTCTCAAATTTTAGTCAGCTCCAGTATCTTACTGCAAAGAAACTTTCCGTGAACAAGTACACATTCCAGCCATAATAAAAGTAATCTATGCAGGCATTGAATACCTTAGTTCCAACTTTGTAAGTAATTTTTTCGTGGAAATGAAGACCTTGCATCATGTTTGCATCCCCTGGCATTGCCTTTCTTTCAGCCTCCATGTGAACCTTATTATGCCAGATCAATTATATTAATTTAAGTGAACTTGATGCATAACATGGAAACTCAAATATAGACCAAATAGCCTGTTTTTAAGAAGCAGCAGCAGGAAGAAGAAGAAGAATTTGATAACCGGGTATCAGATTTTCAATCATTAATTTATATGGTCAAAGGAGAAAGAGAGCAGGGAGGAAAACCCAGCCACATAAAAGTATCACTGAAATTATACCCGCTCCCTTATCGTAGCTAATAACCCATCATTCCATTGTTCGCCATCTAAACAAATTTCTGCGAAATAAAAAAATTTCTTATTCAAAGCATCAATAAAACATATTTACTTAAAGCAATATGTAAAAGAAAACTTAAACAAAGTAAATTTAAAGAGAGAGAGAGAGAGAGAGAGAGAGAGAGAGAATGTTAAGAAATGTGGCATAAATCACATGGCAACAAAACAAGCACAGATACAAATCTGTAATTCATTCAGTACAGCATATCCAGCATATACATTAAAAGCAGTCCAGAACAGAAGGCCATCAGACACAACAAGCAACACCCAAAAGTAAACCAGCAGGGGACTCAGAAATTGTTTATTACCAAGACATCCCCAGTAAGCATGTCACAGAGGGGAGAGAAACAAAAAAAAAAGAGTCAATGATGATGGTAATAATGATAATGATGACAAAGAAGCACTGATTTAGAACCAAGGCACCGGTAGGAAGTTGAAAAGTGCATACATTGACAGAAACTCCACCTGTGACCCATGGTGTCAATGTATTCTGTTATTTATGGACCAACAGTCCCATAGATGACACTCATTTTGCCCTCAAGGGGACTTGAACCCTCAACCCTCCACTTTGGGAGGTAGAGGAGACTTCATTGGTGGTGAAATATTAGTACTTCTGATGTATATATAGTATATACGCACATAATCAAATACAACAACTGTATACAACAATTAGGAGTTTGAAGATATTTTTACTCCAGATGGGATTGGATACAAGATATAATTGAAGTATTTAAAAAACAAATCACTTTAATCGATACAATCTTAATGCATAAACAATTAATTGCAATCAACATTTCAACTTCTTAAGTAAAAAATTTCTTGCCCTTTCTAAGTCTTTAGATTCCCCATTCAAATTTTACAATCTTTCAGTTCTTTATATTGCACAAGGCTTTTCGATCCAACTCCAACAAAAAAGCTCTAGTCAACAATATATTACTTTCAAGAGATATTCCCAGATGACACATAGGCCCATGAGACAATATAAGATTTTGCCCTACCATCTGCTGTTATGACTAGTGACCCAAAATGATAAACCAATTGCTCTATTTTGATCACCCACCCCCTTCAAAGAAATGATTTCTTTTTAAACGACACATATAGATCATACACATTATGAGAGAAGAGTACTGGGTTCTCTTTCCAAATTAAGAATTTTGGAGATAAAAGGCACCAGAAGGGGCACAATTAATGCACATATAAAGGATACAAAAGCACATCTATGTTCCTTTACATCTCAAAGCACCTGTAAAATTAACACATGAAAATACAAAATGAATCAAGAAATTAAAAAATGTAAAGAATTTAACATCAACTACTTAAAAGAACACTATATTCTGCATCCTCAAAATATCATACTTCTCCCTCCAAAGACTTAATAAAGGACACAAAGGTGTAGCCTGCCAAGCCTCTCAAATCTTCTTATTAGCACATCCAGGGTGAAACAAACAATCCTCAACCAACCCTGCCATAACCCATTAAACTCCAAAAGGGGGTGATAACATGTACCACATTTCTTGGGCTATTCATACTGTAAGGGAATATGATTGTGCTCTCTTCTGCCTCCATACACTTACAATTGAATTAGGAAGCATCTTCTCCGATGCCCTAGTTTGTCCCATATGAATGGGATCAGCCACATGAATTCTCGTTTTTCATTCTTTCTATTACAAAAAGTTGTCTCACATTACATTTAGTTTTTTAAAATCATTTCTAATTACTTCATCTCACATGAATTTTGGCCAGCCTCATTGTCTCTTACCTTCTATGCAAATAAATCTATCTTTTACAATCTATACAAAATAATATACCTTTTTCTTACCCCATGCATCCATGTGTGTCCATTTTATATGACCACACCACATAAGTCTACTTTTTCTCATTTTATCATCAATAGGTGTCACCCCTAGTTTTCCCCTCACTTGTTAATTATTAATCCCATCTTTTCTGGTCACTTCTATAATCCATCTTAACATTGACATTTCAACTACACGTTCTTGTTTCTATTTTAGCATCGAATGTTTTATTCCATATGATATAGTTGGCCTAATAACTGTGCTATAGAAATAATAAAATTTTCCTTTTAGCTTATTTGGTATTGGTTTGTCACATAGAATACCACTAGCTTGTCCATTTTGACCACTATGCTTCAATCCTTTCTATTACATTGCCATCTATCTCTCACTCTTCTTGTATAATCATCATCCTTGCCTTCATCCCATACGAATAGACTTGGCCGCATGAATTCTCTTGTTCCATTCTTTTCTATTGTACTTCATTTCACCGATTATATTTAACTTCTTAAAATCGTTCCTAATAACTTCATTACACGTTAATTGTGGTCGGCCTCTGTCTCTTACCTTCTATGACAACTAATATTTCTCTTCTAACTAGTGCATCTACTGATTCGTTTATATTTGTCCATACCATCTAACTCTAGTCACTTGTTTTCTCACTAATGGAAGCCACACCTAATTTTTCTCATACACTTCCATTAGAAACCACAGTGGGTGTTGACTACAAAATATCAAGAACTTTTATCCGTATGTACTTATGCCAAAACACGGTGAGGTCAATGTACTTTGCTTAAGTTTTCTATTCTTTCTACTCTTTTTTGTTGGGTTTCAAGGAGAGATCATAGATCTTTTTTTTTTTGATAAGTAGGGAGAGATCATAGATCTTTAGAGGAGATTGTTGATTTCCTGGCCTCTTTGCAGGCTTAGTGGCCCTTTGTGGGCTTTTGTATTCCTTTTGGGTTCCGCTCCCCTTCTGAGTGCTTTAATTTGATTTTACTTATCAAAAAAAAAAAAAAAAAAGGTACTTTACCCTTGAAGCTATCTAGGCAACTAGTTGGAAAGTTATAAGTGGATCCTTTGTCCATTACCTGAATAGTATGTCCTAGATGGTAGTCACCAGCCAACTTCAGTCCAATATGTGGTCTTACAGTCAAGCTCCCATCTACCTTTGTGCTCAATGACGATTCTTTGCTTGGCTCCATGAAACCTTTGCACACTTCCATTACCTATGGGGAAGCCTACACACATGGGAACGGTCTACCTAAGACTGTTCCTTAGCACTTAGAAGTCGTTGATGGCTCAGCCCCAAAAAATAAGTCTCCCTTCAACCTCCACTTAAGAAGTATGGAAACGGACATATGACATGATATAGACAAGACGATATGACAAGTGTCAGAAAAATAGGACATGGACACGGGCGCGGACGCGGTAGGGATACATCAAAAAATAATAATATAATACATTATTATATATAAATAATAATAGAGGGGGGAGGGAAGGTCATACACTTCTATACCATAAAATTGATTTTTAGCGAAATGAAAAAGATGTATATAATAGAAGCATAATCATTGAAACAATTTGTCATATCAAGAGGGCCATGCAACTCCAATATAGCCTCCCTTTCACACAACAAGGATCAAGATAAAGTGAACACGTGTTCTCTTTCTTTCAAGCGAAGATCCTTCAGTGACTAATGCTCAAGCGAGATTTAAAAATATAAAAAAAAATGATTCACATTTGATATCTACTTCCCTCTCAATGCCGCTTAGATCCGACTCTAAAACTCCTCCTTTGTTCCACTAACTACTATGACTAAATAACATTTGGTCTACATACGTAGATTGTCTAAAGACTCTAAACAATAATTCTTGAACAGTGAATGAAAGCTCAACCTATACGACACAATTTTTTATTTAAAGGGAACTTTTTCTCTGCTAAAAGTATTCCAGCAAAGTTGATACCTATATACACTTGTACGCCCTTCATCTTTTTTAATGAAGGCCAAGGAACCATGGCATATATGGAATAGAACCCATTTTGAGAGAGCTGAAAAGGTAAGACTGTTAAGACAAGAAGACATCACAATCCTCCAGTTACTTGTTGTCACACCCAAGGGCAATTACCCAAATGCTCTAGTAACCAAAACCCACAAAAAAGTTAATGAGCACCCTACCTCGCAAGTCCTCTTCGATAGAGTCAAACCACTTAAAAAGACTAGAATTCCTTTCAATCCAAGTGACCCAAATAATAGTCAATATAGCACAACCTAAAGGGTCTTGGCTTCCACTAGAACCAAACAACATTAATTATGTTTCAAGGAGGAATATTACATCCCTAGACGCAACCAACTTCCCCAATTGATATTTAGTAAGCTGAAAGTGCAAGTCAAAGACAAGATGAGACAATTATAAGAAGTGGCTGCAAGTGTCACAGTTCCACACATACCACAAATGACACAGATCGATTATCAATTGTCAGGGAGGATTTATAACCAATATGAAAGGAAGAGAGGAAAACAAGTAAGGATATTACAGAAGGCTCAATATTTTGATGCAACTAAATGTGCAAGTATAAGAAGATGAAAAGGAAAACAGAAGCAAAGTTTAATACAAACAACCATCGTTCAGAAATATAAAGCAAAAATCTTGGACAACAAAACTATCAAAGCTTATGTTTAAAAGTACCTTGAGTTTGAGAAGCACGTGCAGCTTCAAATTCCTTTTGTAAACGCTCAAAAATTGTCTTGTCAGAATCCCTATTGGAATCAATCACTTTTAGAATTTTACCCTAAAAGATCATAGCAGTCATATATAACTGAAATCAAAATCTCAGACAACTACAGCCACAAAACATGTACATCAGAATTAAACATGTACGGGAAAAAAATAAGGTGCATCATATTTTAACGAAACAGATTCAACATCATGGCTGAAATAATCTCGAATCAGTGTGCATCTTATTTTACAGGTTAATACATAATTTATTCAGAATTAGTTAACCTAAGGATGATAAAATTTATGGATGCTTTATACAAGTCAGTGATTTTGTGAATGCTTTATAGTTTATACAAGTCTGCACTTTTACAGTGTATTCAGATTAATTCTAAACCTCCCACACTACACTTGCTTCAGTAATTTATAATACGATTGCAAGTGATATAAATCTGACAAGTGAGCACTCTGGAAAAGGCAATATTTTGTTGCAATTGATACAGTTTATCAAGATTGAAACTAAATTTCAATAACTGCATGGAAACTTGGAAAGAGCTATATGGAAGACATTCATGACTGATCAAGACAGGAATAAAAAATGAAGAAATTTGTTGCAGCTGAGATTTTACAGAATGTAGGTTGAGGTGGTCATAAAGCTATCAGTCCTATAAAACATCTCACAGGAAAGCAGTCTGGCATACCAAAGCTCCATTGAAGGTGGCTTTCTTCAGTTGGACGGTAGCCCTAGGAAAGATTTTGACAATTGACAACCTAAGAAGGAAGACTTATCATAAATAAATAAAAGAAGGAAGCTTCAGATTATAAAAAATTGGTGCTGCATGTGCAAGAGAGGTGAGGAGTCAGTGAACCATCTTCTATTACATTGCCCAGTGGAATGGGGATGGTTGGCCGATGCTTATTGCAGTGCTTGGTGTTCATTGGGTCGTCAAGGGATCGACGAATAGCATGCTTGAGGCTTGGCGGGGATGTTTAGTGGGGACACAAGCCCGAGAGGCTTGGGGGGCAGCTCCTCTATGTTTGTGGTGGGTTTGTGGAGGGAGAAGAATAGGAGGTCCTTAGTGGATCCATTCTTCTTTTCTTTTTTTTTGTGGGTCGGGGGATGTTGTGTTAATGGGTTTTATTGTAAAACTATGGAGCAGATTGTGGATTTTGTGGATAGATTGAGATTATAGTGTCTTCATCGGATGCTCTTTCCGCTTAAGCGTCTTTATATGAATTTTACTTATCCAAAAAAAAAACATCCCACAGGAGGTCTCCAAGCAAACCCAGTAGCTCCAAGCTAAGTTTGCAGGCCAAAAAGAAAAATAGAGAGAGCAACAGGTTAAGGGAAAAGAAGTTGGAAGAAATTTAAAAAATCTACACTACTCTGATTTGATAACAAGTATCGCATAAAACCAAGGTTGTTACGATCGGGATCCTAAGTTAGACTGCTTCGAGACCATAGGACCGGATTGTAGGGATCGGAACGAGGATCATAAGATCCTACAAAATGAGAAGAACGCTAAAAATATATTATAAATAAAGAATTCCAGTAATTGTTAGATAACAATTTTAAAACCCATAAAAAATATAAACATTATACAAACATATTTCAAAATGCATTTATACACAAGCAAGCCAGTACTTGCCCGAGACCAGCTACCAGAGCAGCTACAGTGAATCGGTTACAGAATCAAGTCAGTGAGAACTCTGCTGCTACCTCAACCTCTTGAATATAACAATGTAGCCCAAAAGGTAGAAGTAGAACTCTAACATTACATAATTTTCAAGTAAGGTTTTATATGAAATGTACGTTTAGCTCTATTTTAATTTTTCCTTATTAAATGTATACTATTCAATGAAACAAACCAAGAAACTTTTGTAATACACTCTACTAAATATCAATTACATGAGCCATAACAACCAACATTTTTTTTCTAAAAGGTTTAAAGTCGATCAACATATTCAAGTGCCATATAAAAATATATGTAAAAAAAAAAAAAAAAAACATATTATCAGTTTTTTTCATACTTGCACGATCCTACCTCTTTGTGATTTCATGCAATTCAAATCGTTTTGATAAGTTAGGACCACGCAATCCTACCATATGGATCGCGATTTTGATAACCATGCAAAAGAACTGAGAAAACAATTAAATACCTTCTAAACTAATATCAAAAGAAAAAGAAGAAGACGAAGAAGTGGTCGAAGGTGGGTTTCTAGTTGTTTAAGTTCCCTTGAATGAGGCATTGCTCTTCCACATTTCTGAGAACCTCAAAGGGAAGAAAAGAGAAGTTGGGATGAGGGGAGATTAAATTGTCCCCCTAATGAGAAAATTAGTACATGAAGGGGTGCAAGGTCATTACTCATTCATAATCATACCTTGGTCAAGCGAATAGGTTACCATGATAAAGAGATGCTAGCCCCCCTTCCCCACCCCCCTCTTCCACAACAAAAAAGAGTGATGTGTGATGTCTGACCATTTTCTGATTATGACAAAAGAACGATGAATATCGATGTCCTTAAGAAAGTAAGAACTATTAAGGAAATGAGGATGGATTTGTTTCATCAACGGTAAATGTAAGAAACAGAGAGTTGTCCAATCCGTTAAAATTTGGTTCTCAACTGTGTGAACTTTGGGGAAGACAATATTTGCTTAGCCTGGGATAGCGATTAGTCCATCTGCCTGAAGAACAACTGCTTGAGTAGAGTGGACTAGTGGTTGAGTGCTCCTTGTTGTTCGGATCTTGACAGGGTTCGAGCTTCCCAAGCTCTATGCTGTTGGGGAACTTCACAAGGGTCTTACCACCTTCTAAATCAGAAAAGATGGTACTTTGGGTATCCTGGGGCTGAAATGCAAAGGGAGTCGTGACACCATCTTTAGTAATTTAATTTCGCACACTCTATAAATATCCACTCTCTCATTTCCCTCCACTCTCATAATTCTGTAAGTACAACTGCTAACAAACATCAGTATACCTACCAAAATTAAAGTTACGTTACCTCGTCAAGGAAACAAGGAACTAGTTAAAGGAGAGAAGTAGAATAGTTCGCTGTTTCTTTTTTTTTTTTTGGATAAATAAAAGGTATTAGAAAACGTTCAAAAGGGGAACGCATCCCAAGAGCTATACAAGGCCGAAGCCAAAGAGGGAGTCATATGGACCCAAAGAACCCAAATATCCACGATTTCATCTAAAGATAAACAATTTCTCCCCATCACCCAACTAACAAGAGAACTAATAATAGAAAATTTCAGCGTCCCAATGAAGGATTCCTCCCCATCAAGAGATCTTCTATTCTGCGCTTTCCAAACACACCACCAAACACAAAAGGGGGTCGCCCTCCAAAAATCATGAGCATGGGCCCCACACTGTAGCCCCTCCCAACGTCAATCAAATCCCTTGGGGACCGAGGCATAACGCACTGAATGCTAAACAGACCAAAGATAAGACTCCAGCAATCGTGAGCCATGGCGCAATGCAGAAGAAGGTGATCCACGGACTCTCCATCAAATAATTTTTACACAGACAACACCAGTTGACTGTGAGAATAGTTCAGTGTTCATTCATGATTCAACACTGTCCGAGGCTAGAGAGAGAGGTCCAGGACCAGAAGATAAATTGCTATTACGAAATCAACAGCTACATAGGATGGAAGTCTACAAAAGTAGCTAATGAGACCTAGAAACCACTTTTAGGAAGTAACTGAATCACATGTGCCTGCGCAAAATGAAAAGGACCATCTCGGAAGAGCTTATGTGAATATCATGTTTTTGCCAGTATTTCACGCCGTTGGACTGCAGGAAGACTGCTTCCACCAATACATTAGCATCCAGGGTTCGATAGACACAAGCGATGCATCTTCAGAATAATAACATTTCATGTGAAGGTTAGAAATATCATAGCACTAATAGGTTTCATTCTATTGCGGGAGAGAAACCTTACCAGCTACTTCTAAGAAAGACATAGATACTGATTCTAACATAGCCACCTTACCGGCAAATAGGTTTCACACCCTCCCCCTACCATCAACTACCGAAGGAGAACAGAGAAATGATAATAACTCAGGAAGTTCGTCTATTCGATGCCATCTCCTTCAACGAGTCTAGTAAAGTGGAGTCTTATTCATTGAGAACCTGTGTTTATGATACCCTAGGTCACACTTCCATGAGGGTTACCACTTCTGTGTACCAAGAACGAATAAGCACAACAAGAAGATCCACCCTCAATTCATAAAGTGAGGTTTAACAATCCACGCTCTGAACATTTCAACATGTAGATTCTACTTCTTCATTCATTCCATTGGCCATTTTCGGCTTTTTTGTGAATTCTCTTGGGAGTGCTCCCCTCTTGAGCACCTTTAAATAAAATCTTACTGATCAAAAATGAATTAATCTTCAATTTATAGTCATTTCATACCACGATATGATGCCATGAGGATTTCAGATCATTGATGGAATTTTAAAGAAGAAGAAACGAAGTGTATAATGCTAACTAAAAATGGCTGGGGAAATGAGGGGTTTTTTCCTTTCGACGAATGAAAAAAAAATGACATGGATGGTGATTAAATAAAATCGTAGTTTTCTAGGAATTTCACCGAATCGCACATTCGCACCTAATATACTTTAGCTTAACCCCTAAAGTTTGGTTGCATCATACATCACAATCTTCAACATTCTAAATGAACACCCTTGAATTAATAAAGCACATAAATATTTACAAATTGTTGGTTATATTGTTAGTTGTCTCTTATTACTAAGACAAGAATTAGAAAATTTAGAAATTACAATCTTTGAATTGTAAGACTATACTTGAACTACTAAAGACCATAATGAAAACCCAAGAACAAAATTACACACAATTGAGACCCATACAATACGATTACTACAACCCATGTGCAGCAAATCAATAAATTATCATTATATGAAATAAAGTTCTTAGGACATGCCTTGTGGACCATGGGATGATGGAGTGATATGTGATAATTCTACATTGATCAAGGCATAGATACATACTGACAGCTATTAAATTATTCCTTGTTATAAGAAACACTGTTTTTGGGGGAATGGTTTTCTATATAAATCTGCAGACTAACGAGTAATACCTTTGCTATCTGTGCTAAACTGAATACAGGTTAGCATATTGATAATTAACGAAATTCAGTTTCTTTAAAATCCTCTGACCGCCCACATTATGAGGGAAAACAAGTTGTGTCAATAAACTAAGGCAAACATGGGTATTGCAGAACCAGCACATAGATTTTAAATATGTGAAAAAGATATATAAAAGTTATAACCCTTCCAGGAAACCCTTTTTGTCATTTAGGCATTAATTCTCAAAATTCATACACTCTTCTGACCACCCAGTTTATATAGAAAACTTGTGTCAGAAAACCAATGTTTTGATACGTGACTTATGTCATTAAACCAATGCAACCATGAGTACTACAGAACCAGCACACAAATTTTAAAAAGGTCTGGAAAGAAACTCACACACACACATACATAAATAAGCATTATGACCCTTCTGGGAAATCCTTCTACATGAAAGTTTCACATTCTACAGTCATTTAAGCATGAATGCTTAAAACTTTACACTTCAATGGCTTAAGAAGCACAAAAATAAAATAAAATAAAATAAAAATAGAAAAAGGTTCCAGAAGGGTTCCTAGAGACTCCACAGAACATGTGATGTAGCTACACCGAGAAATACGCATTAGTAGTTTCCAAAAGTGTACCTGGAAAGACGCTCTGTTAATTCTCCATGCCTTTTGAGTACATTTGAAACTGCTAGGAAAAAAAGCAACTTCATTTCTCTTGAACATCGCAAGGATGAAGAAAGGAAAAACAAGTTTGATCTAAAAATGAGAAAAGATATAAGAAAAAACTAAAAAAGTACATCTAGCCCGTGTAGTCTCCAATCGTGCATCCTCCTCCTGTATAAAATTCTGTCACACAAAAAGGTATATTAATTACAATCATGGAAAAAAGAAAGAAATGAAATTAAAAAAAATTAGCCATGATAAGGTTATAACAGATATAGTACTTATTTTTCTTTGATAAGTAAAAATTTCATTAGAAAGCACTCAAAAGGGGAGCAGAACGCGCCCTAATACAACTGCACAAAAGGCAAACAAAGGGCCCACTAAGCTCGCAAACTATCCACAAAATCTACAAATTCCTCTTTAAATTTACAACACCACCCTTTGACACACAAAATATAGAGAACTCAAGATGGAGTATTTTAACACCCAAATAGAGCCTCATCCCCATCAAAGGATCTCCAATTTCTCTCACACCACAAACCCCACCCCAAGCATAGGGAGCTACCATTCAGGTATCTCGGACTTAACTGCCAACTATACAACCTCTCCAAGCCTCAAGCATACCCATTTTGGAATCCGGCATAACCCAATAAATAGCACAAATAGCAAAACGCACAGCCCAAACATCCCTAGCCATAGGCAAATGCGAAAAGAGATGATTCACTGACTCCTCATCCCTTTTGCAGATAACAACACTAGTACACAACAATCCGATCCCTCGTCCTCAGATTACCAATAATTAAAATCCCCCTGAAAACTACCTTCTCACCTTTAGAGGAGTTTTGGTGCACCACATTGCCTTCCAAGGGAAAGAGGGCCCCCGAGCATCCAAAAGACTCTAATATAATGATGGCACCTCAAAACCCCAATGACTGGAACCCACTCAATACCACTCATCAAACCCCTCCCATCCACATTCTTTTGATAAAGTAAAGCGACAAACTCGAAAATATCCTCCAACTCCTAATCTGCACATATCAAGTCACCCTCCCATTATCAAGACGATGAAAGTAATTTGTTTATCCACTGCAATCCTAAATAACCTCAAGAAAGTGTATGCAAGTGATCTATCCCCACACCAAGAGCCCTCCCAAAACCAAATATGCATCCCACTCCTCACCTTGAACCAAACAAGCTTCAAAAATTCGTTCCAGCGCTTCCAAATGAATTCTCAAAATTCAATCCTCGCTGAATAACTCACCACCTACTCCGTCCACCCCTAACCTCCCCAACTTTACTCTTTACAACCCTCCTCCATAAACTGTTCCTCTCTACCCCAAACTGCCCAAGCCATTTAGCCAACAAAGCTTTATTAAACAAATCAATCCTCCTATCACCCAAACCACCTAGCCGGATACGGCAGCACGCATTCTCCCAATTCATTGGATAGAACTTAAATTCATTCCTCATGCCACCCCACAAAAAATTTTCTTTGCAGTTTCTCAATCCTTTTCATAACAGAGGAGGAATTTGAAACGGTGAAAGAAAACAAATTGGAAGACTTGAAAGGGTACTCTTAATTAGAGTTATGTGGCCTCTTTTTTTTTTTTTTTTTTTGATAAGTAAAAATGAATTAGAAGGCGTTCAAAAGAGGAACGCATCCCAAGAGCTGTACAAGGACCACGAACAAGGACCAAAAAAGCCTAGGGATCCAAAGACCCCAAAAACTCCTCAACGAAAGAACAATCTCTCCCCATGCCCTAACTAAAAAGAAAACAAATAATAAAATACTTAAGAGCCCCAATGGCTAATTCCTCCCCAGCAAAGGATCTTCTATTACGCTCTTTCCATAGACAGCACCAAATGCATAGGGAAGTCGCCCTCCAAAAGTCACAAACTCAAGCCCCCACCATCTGTCCCCTCCAAATATCGATAAGACCTCGTGAGGTCCGAGGCATAACCCACTGAACGCCAAAAAGACCCAACATAAGACTCCAACAGTCATAGGCCACTGGGCAGTGCAAAAGAAGGTGGTCCACAGACTCTCCATCGGTCATACACAGACAACACCGATTAACAATGACCTGTCTCCTCTTCCTCAAATTGTCCAGAATCAGGATCTTGCCCCAAGCAGCAGTCCAAGCAAAAAAAGCGACCCTAAGAGGAGCCTTCGAATGCCAAACCGTTTTCCATGGATAAGAGGGAGACTGAAAACTGGAAAGACAGAAGAAGAAAGAACGGACCTGGAAAGTCCCCAGCGAAGAAGGCACCCAAGTCAAAAGGTCCGCCCCCGTGCCTTCCACCTCCTGACGATACAAAAGATCCAAAAAAGCAGTGACATCATCCAGCTCCCAATTCTGGAAAGCTCGCCGGAACCGAATATCCCAAGAAAACCTACCGCTATCAAGGCGATAGCAGTCAGCAACCAAAGCATGGCAATCCACAGCAATCCTGAACAACCTTGGAAACTGTTGACACAAAGGACGTTCCTCGCACCAAGGATCCTCCCAAAATTGTACACTCCGCCCTTCTCGAACTCTGAATCTAATATGCTTAGAAAACTCATCCCAACCCTTCCCAATAGATTGCCACACACCAAAGCCAATAGCAGATCTAGCCTGTCTAGCAGACCAACCCCCTCTATCCTCCCCAAACCTGCAAGCAACGATCTCCCTCCAAAGTCTATGTCTTTCACTGCCAAACCTCCATAAGCCATTTGCCAAGAAGGGCCCTATTGAAAGGGACCAACCTCCGAATCCCAAGGCCTCCTGACTTAAACGGCTTGCAAACCTGCTCCCACCGAACAAGATGATACTTAAACTCCTCCCCCCTACCACCCCAAAGAAAGTTACGTTGAATCATCTCAAGTCTCCTGACAACAGAAGTAGGAATCTGGAACAGGGAGAGGAAATAAGTTGGTAGGCTGGACAAGACACTCTTCACCAGAGTAACTTTTCCTCCCTTCGAGAGATATTGTTTTTTCTATCCAGCCAACCTTCTCTCGAAGTGCTCAATAATTGGATCCCAACAGCCCGCCCTTCTTGAGGAGACCCCCAGGGGCAAACCCAGATAAGAGATAGGGAAGGAACCCATCCAACATCCAAGAACAGCTGCCAGGGAATTCACCTCCTGAACCTCCCCCACAGGGACAAGCACACTCTTGCTCACGTTGATTCTCAAACCAGAAACAACCTGAAAACAGACCAGGACACATCTCAAATATCTCAATTGGGACGCCTCTGCCTCACAAAAAACCAATATATCATCCGCGAACAGCAAGTGAGAAATCTCCAATTAATGAACTGCCTCAGGACCTATCTTGAAACCCCGAAACAACCCCAATGAAACAGCCCTCCTCATCAGCCTACTCATCAGCCTACTAAGAGCCTCCATAACAATAATGAACAAGAAAGGGGAGAGGGGGTCCCCTTGCCTCAAACCACAAGAATTACCAAAAAACCCCGAAGGGGAATATTAACCAGCACCGAGAATCTGACTGACGAAACGCAAGTAACAATCCATTTCCTCCATCTCTCATCGAAACCCATCCTCTCAAGCAAATAGAACAAGAAATTCCAGCAAACATGATCATAGGCTTTCTCAATATCCAGCTTACACAAAACTCCAGGAACACCACTACGAAGCCTAAAATCCACACATTCACTGGCAATAAGAACGGAATCTAGAATCTGTCTGCCTCCAATAAATGCGTTTTGAGACTCTGAAACAACACCTTCCAAAACCCCCCTCAATCTGGAGGCCAAGACTTTAGCGATGAGCTTATACAAACACCCAATCAAACTGATAGGACGAAAGTCCTTAATGTCAGAAGCTCCCCCTTTCTTTGGAATCAAAGCAATAAAAGAAGCATTCAGCGACTTTTCGAACTTCCCAGTGGAATGAAACTCATGGAAAGTGCCCATAATCTCTTGTTTGACCACCTCCCAACTTTCTAGTAGAAAACTCATAGTGAAACCATCCGGGCCTGGAGCTTTATCACCATTACAACTCTTCAAAGCCATCAGGACCTCCTCCTCCGTAAACGATCTCTCCAGCCCATCCCTATCCTCCACTGAAATAGAGTCAAAATGAAGACCATCAAGTCTTGGCCTCCAATGGAGAGGCTCAGTATATAACCTCTGATAAAAAGAAACAATCCCCGTTCGCACCTCCTCATCGGAAGTCAACAGCGAACCATCCACCCGAATCTAACCAATATGATTGCCCCTCCCATGTGCATTAGCCGTTCGATGAAAAAACTTAGTATCTTTGAGCCACAAAGCCCGAGATTTCTGTCTCCACGAGATCTCCTCCATCACCGCAATCTCAGCACATTCAGCCTGACAAGCTGCTCTCCAAGACCGTTGAGAGTCGTCAAGACCTCCCGCCGCATCCAAACGATCAAACTCTGCAATATCAGCGAGGGCCCTATTTTTCCTCCACTCCAGATTGCCGAACACCTCCTTATTCCGGATTTTAATTTTATCTTTCAGAATACGAAGCTTTCCTGCAAGGATAAAACTCGAAGTACCCACCACCATGTCCTCCTCCCACCAAGTCCGCACCAAACCCTGAAAGTCCGCCGCTCTAAGCCACATATTTTCAAATCTGAACGGAGTACGACGAGGGCTCAAATCTCCACAATCCAAAACCAAAGGAATGTGATCCGACGTCACCCTAGCCAACGCAGCCTGAACTGCATCCGGAAACTGCTCATCCCACTCACCGGAGATCAAGAATCTATCTAGGCGTGAAAAAGTAGGCATCTCCCTACCACAAGACCAAGTAAAAGTAGCTCCCTCCAAAGGGAGATCAATAAGTTGATGATCATTGATGAACTCCGAGAAAAGCCTCATAGCCGGAGTCCATGACCCACCTGTAGACCTCTCCATCGGGGATCTAATCACATTAAAGTCACCTGCCACACACCAAGGAAGAGACCACATCTCCTGAACCGCACTAAGCTCCTCCCACAGCATAGGCCTCTCACAATCATCCACCGGCCCGTAGACACCTGAAAAAGCACAAGGAAAGCCATCCTCTTCCAACACAAAGGCACATGACAAAGAGAACATCCCCCTACACACATCTACCTTATCCATCCATCTCCTATCCCACATCAAAAGAATACCTTCGGAAGTCCCAACTGAATCAAGCGCCTCCCACTCAACGAATCTACTACC